AGTATATTTCTAGTATACTTTAAGAGCAGCTTATTAAGAAAATATATAAATACTTACTATATAGATATTAAAGTATAGAGAAGACTCTTAACTAATTAAAATAATTATATAATTTCCTAGAAAGCAGAAAAATAGTATAAGAAGTTATTAAGAAATATAATATATATAATAAAGCAAAAGCAGCATAATATATACTATATAGAGAATTATAACTAATATTACTACTAAATAAAGTATAGCAAACTATTACTATAGACTTTATTATTAAACTACACTACTGAAGTTAAAAGAACTTATAATAAAAGTAACTTATAATAGCATTCTAGTTATAGTAGACAAACTTATAAAGTATGCTTATTATATTTCTTATATAAAATTAAGTAATATAAAGGACTTAGTATATATATTCTTTAAAATAGTTATTATATAATATAAATTACTAATAAAGCTTATATTAAATTAAGATAAATTATTTATATTAAACTTTTAGAAATACTTTATAGAAACTATAAAAGTTAAATAGAGCTTATTAATAGTATTCTACTTATAATTAAATAGATAAATAAAAATACTAAACTAGATACTTAAATAGTATTTATAAAGCTATATAAACTACTAATAAAATAATTAAGTAGAATAGCTACTACTAGTATAATAAGCTTATAATAGCTCTAAGATTAATAATACAAAGATATTACTATTTAGAGCAAATTATAAATATAACTCTATTATTAAAATATATATAGTATATAATATATATACACTAGTAGCTATAGTATATATAGTAAAAATTATAGAGATATAGAAATACTTATAATAGAAATAAATATTTTTGTAGAACTAAATAAAGCACTATATAGATAAAAAGAAATCACTAGCGCTAATTTTAGAGAAGAGATATAAAGTATACTTTATTTATAAATAACTTAATATTAAACTTAGTATTTAAGAAATAAACTAATATAGAATTTAAATTATTTAAAGAAGTAGAAAGAATACTAGTATTTTTTAAAGCTATTTAGCTTCTTTATACTCTATATATTCTAACTCTTTAATATTATTAATACTATATATAACTATATATATTATTTTCTTAAACTATAATTTCTTTTGCTTTTAAAGACAGAGAACTTTCTCTTCTGCCTCTTCTAGCTTACGCTCTAACTTAATATATTAAAATATAATATTTTATAACTAAGTAGAAAATACTCTCTAAATATTATATTATAATAAGTTTAAATAAATATACTTTATATATTAAGAGGAGTTAAAAGAAGAAACTTAATATTTAAGAATACTATAGCTTTTATAAGCAGAATAAAATAGTATAGTTAGAAGAAAAGAACTTATAAGAATAGCTACTAGAAGATTATTATAATAAAAAACTAATGCCTTAAAAGCCTTTAACTTTTACTTAATAATATAATTAGTAGGCATAATAGTATATAATAATAAAAGAAGAAAGTTACTCTAGGACCTTAGACAGCCTGCTTTAATAGCCTTAAGGATAAAACTAATAGAGAAGAAGTATAATATTATAAATATTACTAAACATAGAAAGAACTAGGCTGCACTAGAGAAGATATAGCTATAATAAGAGAGAACTAAGACGTTATATACTAAGTTATATAATTATAAAGTAATTAATAAATTACCTATTAATTACTATAAGCTAAGTAATTATTAAATTACTTATTCATTACTATAAGTTAGGAATTAATAAATAGATAAATAATTAGAGTAATTATTAGTTTATAATAAAGAAATAGATAAGTACTTAAGAAGAAGGTATCCTACTATAGTAAATAGTCTAGTTCTCTATTAATTAATTTAAGCAATAGTTTTACTATTAAGAGTTATACTCTTAACAGCCTTATTATTATACTACTTATATTATTACTTAGTAACGCTTAACCTAACTTACTTCCTAAGAAACAGACTTACTGTAACTTAGAACTTAAGCTACTATTACAAAAGGCTAAAAATAACTTTTATAGCTACTTTTCTACTATAAAGTAGATTAGCCTTTATAGCTTATTAGTCTTTTTATTAAATTCTAGCTAGTATTTCTTTTTTAACTTTATTTATATATATAAAGAAATATAGACATAAAGTATATTAAATTCTTATATACAAAATATATGCAAATGTTTCTTATAGGTAATTTGTATATTATAGCTATTTCTCTTGTTTTTATAGGCGTTTTTTATAGTAGGCAGTATCTGCCGCTAACAGTTAACCTTGCGATTTTCCGCTAATATTAAAGATAAAGATAAATATAAAGGTTTTATATACCTTAAAGAGCCTTATTAATTAGAAGAACTTTTATCTAGTTAAATATCTATATAAGGAAATAAGATTAATTAAGCTAGTTATAGCCCTCTAGTGGGCGTTAATATATATATAATTGTGCTTATTACGTAACGTAACACCCTCTTAGATTAGCTCTTAGCCTTTCAGTCTTACTAGCGTACAAAGTACTTAGTATAGTAAACTATATTTATAATAATCTTGTATTTTAGCGATATTTAGGTTTTTATAATAGTTTATAGTTATCTAAGGTTTTTCCCTAGTAAATTATTATAGTTATATTACTTATAATATTATTAACTTTTTACTTAGTTACTATATATTTTAGTGTTTTTATTATTATTAAGCTCTTACTGCAAGAGCTAAATTTCGCCGCCTTTAACGTGTTTTTCTTCCTTTAATATTACTACAATAACGCCTCTAATAACAACAACCTTAATAACCTAATTAAGCTCTTTTAAGCGCGTTGACGAGAGCTCTTTTTTAAGCGTATTAATAAGAGCCTTAATAACTAAATTAACAATTAGCAGGAAGCTTGCGAGGCAGCAAAGAAATAATAATCTCTTAATATATACTTTATAATATCTTCAAGTATAATTTCCTAGTAAATTTAATTAAAGGTATAAGCTCTATAATAGTTATATCTTAATAATAGTTGCCTTATAATTATAAAAAAAGAATTACAAAGGATATCGTTATAGAGCTAGTTTACTATTAATAGGGAGGACCTGCGTACCTGGGCGTTGCTGTGTGGGCGAGCATGCACCAGTGACCAGACTCGAGTGGGGCTACTCCGTACCGCCGCTGCAGTTCTGCAGCCCGGTTCTGCCGCTTGACTTGACTTCAGGGTCACTGCATCATCGCTTCATCCCGCCCCAGAACAATCATTTGCCGTTCCCAAAGCCACGTGCACGACCACTTGACTCTTCGAGCGTGTCGCTGCCCGTCGCCGCGTCCAATGTTCGTCAATGTGGCCAAGGCATTGCTGAAGCCGTTCTGGAATCCCATACAGCATACGCGAGCACAGCTTCTAACATCACCCATCGTCGCCTGGGGCACGCTTCTCTTTCCCGTTGGACCATAGTCGCTCTGTTGATGGTTCGGACGTCAAATTTACCGCCGGTTGATCCAACCGATCCGTATCGACTGCATGGTCCTCAACGTTATAACCTCCTAGAATGTGTCGTGGGGGCGCTGTTTCAACCAGGCGCATCTAACATCTCAACACCAGCATTTCCACATATGCTTGTCGATCCATATTCGGCCACACCAACATCCCAAGGCGAAGGGACGAGCTCTGCGGCCATCAATGGCAAAAAAACACCATCGGGAGGTCCCGGTATCTCCCATGAGCACAACTATCTCAAATGCCGAATCCCGCTCTCGTACTCGGTTGCCCTCCAACCCACAGATCCGCCTGCAACCCGTATCGACGTATCCGACAGAGGACTCTGAGAACACAAGGCTAAATACAGAGGCGCCAGATTATTGGAACGAAGGGAAACAGCACCAAGATGTGTCTCCTTTAGGAAATCGAAACGAGGTGGCACCTGGTCAGGTGGACCAGAAGAGATCTCAATCATCCCATGATGACGCGGAGCATAATGTCGGAATTCCCTGCAACGCTTCCTCGGGGGACCATGATGGCTCTGCCGCGGTCGGGAGAAGAAGCGTCCAGTTTGCGAGACAAGACCCTCAGCTGCTCTCTGCGGGAGGTCACAGCCGCCAAGGCTCATGTGATGAGCCAGAAACCCCTGGAAGACAGAAAAGCTTGTCTATCATGTCCAAGATCAAGGCCTTGGCCACCTCGCCTACTACCCCGTCGCTGAAATCGCCCGTTGCACCGTTTGCCGAGCCTGGGCCTCAATCCGCTGCCAACTCTCCTACCTCAACACGCTTCGGCACTCGGCTTCCCAATATTGTTACTGAGGAGCGGTCTGACGCTGACGCCGATGCTGACGCCGATGCTGACGTAGAAGAGACTGCTGATGAATCAGCTATGCCAGGAAATGACGGCCGAAGGAAGAAGAAGCGGAGAATGAAGCGATTCACAAAGGGTCATCTGTCGACGCCATCCACACCAAGTCGCTTCGCAAGCGATGTGGACACCTGGGGGGCATATAACCGACTACTCCGGCGAAGAGCTAGTATGCCGGATACCTCCATCGCTACCGAAAATGGTGAGCAAGTACTGTCAGAAGGGGATACTAGGGGCAACCCTAAGCGACGATCTTTCCGGCGCGGTCACTCGTTTATGGGCACAACAACGCGGCCGCCTGGCGAAGGTGATGACCTGAACGACGTGGAAAGTTCTGCCGTCGTAGGTCGCCGTAATGGCCATTTGCGGCGAATCACTGTATTTGGTGGAGGCGGAGTCTCCGATGGTGATGCTATGACGCCTCGTCGACCATTCTTCAATCCCGAGCGAGCTTCCAACTTTGGTGCACAGAAGTGGAAGCAGGTAAAGAGTACATTGAAGCTCCTGCGGCAGAAGAAAGAAGACCGGTTTGACTATTTTAAATCCGCAGAACTGATGGCAGAGCTTAGAGCTGGTGCGCCAGCGGTCTTGATGCTTGCTAGTATGATTCAAAGGGACGAACACGGGAATAAGAGGATCCCTGTTCTCCTCGAACAATTGAAGCTCAAAATTAAAGACAGTTCCCCAATACCGGATGACGACAAGGACAGACACTGGGTTTTCACCATCGAACTGGAATACGGCAGTGGCCCGAGCCGAATGGGATGGACAGTGATCCGAACCATCAGAGACATCTATAATCTCCACTTCAGGTATAAATTTGCTCTCAACAATGATAAGTATATGCTTGGCCGTGATCCTGGAGGCCGTCCCAAGCAGCCCAAGTTCCCATACACAGCCTTCCCATATCTGCGCCGAGCTCGAAACAAAGATGATGACAGTGATGAGGATGATCGAGCCAGTGTTCGCGGCGACGAGACTGCCGGAGAAGGGACAGGAGGAGAGGCGACCGCCCCTGAGAATCACGGCGACGGCACGCATGACGAACGGCCCCAACCGAGGAGGAAAAAGTCGCGTGTCAATTTATGGGGCATGAGAAGACGTTCGACTGGATTTACGGACCCCGGGGAGATGTCGAATGCTGAAGGCACCGCTCAAGCTACCGACATGGCAATCCGCAGACAACGCTACGTGGAGAAGCAAAGACGGATACTAGAAAAATACCTATCAGAAATGATAAGATGGCTCATGTTCAGAGCTGACAGCAACCGCCTCTGTCGATTTCTGGAGCTGTCTGCTCTTGGTGTCCGTCTCGCCGCAGAGGGCAGCTACCATGGGAAAGAGGGATATCTGCATATCCAGTCATCAAAGGGACTTGATTTCCGCCGAGTTCTAACCCCGGCAAAAGTGATTGCTCGCCATAGCCGCAAATGGTTCTTGGTTCGCCAGAGCTATATAGTTTGTGTTGAGTCGCCAGAAAACATGAATATTTACGACGTGTACCTGGTCGACTCCAAATTTAGCATCAGCTCCAAGAAGAATGCCCTTCAACAGATTGGCTCAAAAGACAAGACAAAGGAAATCGACCTCACCGTTGAAGCACCCCCCAAAACGCACCACACTCTGACGCTGCACACATCCGAGCGCAAGGTACGCCTGTTTTCAAGGTATCAGTCCGTCATGAAACAGTTTGAAGATTCAATCAATGAAATGCTCAAACGGACCGCTTGGTATGAGAAGAAGCGATTCGGCAGTTTCGCGCCCGTACGAAATGGAGTCTTCGCACAGTGGCTTGTAGATGGCAGGGATTACATGTGGAATGTATCCCGGGCAATTAACATGGCCCGGGATGTCATTTACATTCATGACTGGTGGCTGAGTCCCGAACTCTACATGCGCCGACCTGCGTGTATCAGCCAAAAGTGGCGGCTCGACCGACTGTTGCAGAAGAAAGCCAGGGAGGGCGTCAAGATTTTCATCATCATCTACCGCAACGTCGAAGCCGCCATTCCCATCGACTCCGAATACACCAAATTCTCGCTGTTGAACCTACATCCGAACATCTTTGTACAACGATCGCCTAACCAATTCAAGAAGAACCAATTTTTCTTTGCGCATCATGAGAAGATTTGTGTCGTTGACCACGACGTGGCCTTCCTTGGCGGTGTCGACTTGTGCTTTGGCCGTTGGGACTGCCCCCAGCACCCCATCGTTGACGACAAACCTACTGGATTTGAGATGACGGAGCAACCAAAGGACGCAGAGCACTGCCAACTCTTCCCTGGAAAGGACTACTCAAACCCCAGAGTTCAGGATTTTTTCAGACTCAACGAGCCATACGAAGAAATGTACGACCGCAGCAAGGTCCCTCGAATGCCGTGGCATGACGTTTCTATGCAGGTTGTAGGGCAACCAGCGAGAGATTTGACTCGTCATTTTGTCCAGCGATGGAACTACCTCCGCCGTGGACGAAAGCCAACTCGACCTCTGCCGTTCTTGCTGCCTCCGCCGGATGCCAAATTAGACGAGTTGGAAGCCCTTGGCTTGACCGGAACGTGCGAGGTTCAGATGCTTCGTTCTGCATCCACGTGGTCTCTTGGAACGGACGACACAGAGCACAGCATTCAGAATGCCTACATCAAGATGATTGAAGACTCCGAGCATTTCATCTACATGGAGAATCAGTTCTTCATCACAAGTACAGAAGCGTACAACACCAAGATTGTCAATCGCATTGGTGATGCTCTGGTCGAGCGCATCATTCGTGCCCACGACAAGCAAGAAGACTGGCGCTGTGCCATCATGATCCCTCTGATGCCTGGATTCCAGAACACTGTGGATGAACAAGAAGGAACCAGCGTCAGACTAATTCTCATGTGCCAATATAAGAGTATTTGCCGTGGAGAGCAGTCCATATTCGGACGGCTCCGCGCGCGAGACATCGACCCAGAGGATTACATCGGCTTTTACTGCTTGCGCCAGTGGGGTGTGATGAGCAACGACGCTCTCGTGACGGAGCAGCTCTACATTCATGCCAAGACCATCATTGTCGACGACCGAGTGGCTCTGATTGGATCCGCTAATATCAATGAGCGTTCGATGCTTGGCACGCGAGACTCTGAATGCGCTGCCATCGTCCGCGACTCCGAGATGATTGCATCGTCCATGGCTGGAAAGCCCTATCAAGTTGGAAGATTCGCGCATACCCTTCGGTTGCGCCTGATGCGGGAACATCTGGGCCTGGATGTCGACGAGATTCTGGAGCAGGAACGCCAGCAAGAGCTGGACCACGACGTGTTCGAGAGGGAGATGGAGGAGATCTATCGCGAAGAAAGTGCTGATGTCGGTATTGGGTCAAGCAAAGCTCGGCGGGATAGTCTTCCGAGCCTCCGTCACAGAAGTTTCAACTACGAGCTGGGCATGGAACAAGCCAAGGCTCTTCAGGACGTTTCTTTGCCATCTTCAGAGTCAGAGTCGGAGTCGGAGGCGACGTCTAGGAAGGCCGAGGGGGCTGTCGTTGGTATGAGTCCGCAACAGAAGAAGAAGCAGCGATTAGACGTTTCTGGATACGGCCAGGACCAGTGGAAGGTCGCAGAGCAGACAGGTCTGGATGAAGGTCGCGACTCTATCATTGTTGGCGGACGTGAAGTATTGGTAGATGACATGGATACCGAGGGCAAGGGAACCGTCCATCATCCGAAGCCACCTCATGAGCTCAATATCGTACCCGACATTCGACACGTCGGCAATGACGGTTCCGGACCCAGGGATCTTCCACCCATGCCAGCAATGAACCGACGCACGACAGAACAGCTTGGTCTCCTTCGACCCGCCCAGCTACCACCTCTCCCGATTGTTGATGACACTGATATCGGTGGCCCCGCGGTGCACATCGATCCTACAACCGGTCGTCCAAAGAGCGGCGCTTTCCACCCCATGGCTGCGGATATTACACCTGCGGACATCTCCAAAGACTGCATGCGGGATCCCCTCCTCCCTGCCTTTATCAGTAATGTTTGGAATCGCGTGGCCAATAACAACACCAAAATTTACCGAAGAGTTTTCCGGTGTATGCCAGATTCCGAAGTCAAGACTTGGCATGAGTATCGCGAGTACGTGGATTACGGAATGCGTTTCCGCGCGAGCATGGAAGGCAAGCTTAGCGGAGAGGAGTCCGAGTCCAAAGCCGAAACCAATAACCAAGCTGGCCCTACCGCTGCCGGAGCGGGCATCGGAGCGCCTGGTCCTGAAGCAATTGTGGCCGCCGTTGAAGAGACGATAACTGAGAAGCTTCCACCGCTTAAGCCAGACATAAGTAAACTGAAGATGGCGATGGCGCTGGCGCGAAATGGCGATGCTGAGGAGCTAAATGAAAACCCCATGGAGCCGGTTCAACCAAACATTGGTCCGCTCAATTCAAATCCCGTTCAAGGAGCCGAAAAGATTGCGGACGCTCCGTCAACGACGGTAGCAAATGGCCACGCGGGAGTTCCTGCACCAGGGGCACCCCCTGCTAAGCTTCCGGGACCGCAGTATAGCAAGAATACGGATCGCAAGACAGCCTTTGCTACATTGGATAAGCCGCACTCGCGGGAGACGCCCCATATTCCGACGCAAACTCAGTCCGGCTCCGTCAAAAGGCGTCGCCGTGCCAACACGAAAGGGAGCCGCCGGGGATTCTCCCTCGAAGACATGCCTTCCAGAGCTGATGCCGAAGAGCTGCTGAAGTTGATACAAGGCAACATTGTCCACTTTCCGTACGACTGGTTGGTGACGGAGGAGCAGAATGGAAACTGGGGTTACCAGGTAGATGGCGTTGCTCCGTTGTCAATCTAGTAAGTTGGCCCTCACTTTGTCTTGATTCTACATGATGTTCTGACCACGTCGTGCGTAGCGACTAGTACGGGGTACGGCCCGACAGGATCGCGATGGAGACGTTTTAATCTACGGAGACGGGAATACAGACACCCAGACATTGGTTTGCATTGCGAAAGGAGTTTTGTCTTGTGCTGCTTAGAAAGAACTCGGCATACTCTCTCTCTCCCTCTCTACCCCTCCCTTTGTCTGTCTTTCTTTTTTTTTTTTTTCCTTGACCCTCCAATACAGCATTCACACGGCGTTTTAAAGTCCCTTTTGTTTTGTCCCCGCCCTGAAGTACACAGGAAAGCACAGCGAACCTAATTTTCTACATATTTCATTACATAGAGCTGATGGTAATCAAAATGGGACTTTTATTACTTTTTTACACGCCAGTGTCGTGCACCTCGAAATTCGGCTTGTCAATGCGCCACATTCAAAGGGCAGCGGTTACCTGGACGTTTCACATCAAACTCGCTCACTGACCCAAATGGCTCCCCTACAACCCGCTCTTATCACCCCGGTCAACAGCCAATGCGGCTCTGCCTTCTTGGCGTCATGCTCGACGGCGTGGTCCAAATGCTCCAACTCCTCGTCCCGTATCCTCCTCAACGTCTTGACCAGCTCCCCGATCTCGGCGCTGACTTGGTAACCCTCCGCCTCCCACTGCGCAATCATGGCCAGCATCTCCCGAATTTGGTTATTGTAGTGATCGCCGATCTCGGTCTCTACCGCCTCCGTACACGCCATTGCCGCCTCGCGACCCATCATGGCAGTGGACCAGCCTAGGCCCGTGGCGAGGACGGACCAGAGCGGGTACAGGGCCGTAGGACGCACGCGGTGCTTGTGGATGAGGTCATTGAACGTCGCCAAGTGCCCGGCTTCCTGGTCGTACATGTGCGCCATGAGCGGCCGGAGATGGGGATGTTGGCGGACGACGAGCGGCGTCTGGGCTTTGTAGATGAGCGTGGCGGCCAGTTCGCCCGCTTGGTTGACGCGGAGCTGCGGGGTTGTCAGCGCGTCTTTTGCGTTTCTCGCGCGGACGCGGGATCAGAGACTGCCGGGGAGGCGGGACGCACAGCGGAGGAGAGGAGATCGCGTTGTTCGCGAGTCAGCGGTTTGCGTGGGCTTGCGTGGGAGCCTGGTTCGCGCGAGGCTTGCGCGAGGGAACAACGGGTGGTTGAGATTGCGCGGCGGAGACGGGGACCGAGGAGGAGTCTGGGAGAGGTGAGGCCTCGTGTGGGCTTGCACAGGCATTGTGTTGAGGCCATGCCGGGTGGCTTGAGCAGTTGGGTTTGTTTCTTGGTATGTCGAGTGTGTCGAGTGTGTCCAAGGTGTCGATGGTGTTGAATGTGATGGAGACGCCGATGACGCCGAGCGGATTTGGAAGGTGCGTCGGGTGAGCGCCGAATTGGGCGGATGCTTGGAGTATTGGCCTCTATGCTGGAGGCGCAAGCATCTTTTCTGCTAGCACCTGGAGGCTAGCTGGCAGTCACCAAGGTAGCTGGGCGTGTAATGAAGGAGATACAGATGCGGTTGACACTTTCTATCATCCAGACTCATGATCGATTAACGGCGGCCCATGGTGAGTGTGGCCTTAACTATTATGACGAGTGCACGGCGGCCGGAAAATTGATTTGCCGCCACTGCATGCTTGCAGTGCCGCTGCGGCCCAATGGGAGGCGCCGAGCCGATATGACCGTCAAAGTGCTGCGGCGACGACCCAGACTTCGGCTTGCTCTTGTTCGCCTTTCCCATTGTCAATCCTCCCTCACCATTGTTTCTGCGCCGCCATCCTCGACTTCCTACATCAGGCGGTTCCGGCCTCCCTGTCGACTTGATCTGTCTCCACACGATTGGTCCTGAGTTGCCGATCCTGCCAGTAGCCTCGCGAACTCGACAGGAGATCGTCGTCGTTGAACACTGGCCGCTGAAATCGTTCATCACGACCTCGCGACACCATCATGTCTGACATCGAGGACGAGCTCCTGGCCCTTGCGGGTGGCGACTCCGAAGACGAGGGCTCCGCCCGCGGCCGCGGTGGCTCAGAGTCGCCGCGTCGCTCCAAAAACGATGCTGGCAAATCGAACAAGTCAAAACGGCATGCGAGGCAGGACGAGTCTGAGGAAGAAGGCGAAGCGTAAGCACTCCCCATCCACATGTTTGCATGATGGAGACGGGTCCGAGCTGGGGGTCGGGGCTATGAAGCGCATTGAGCACAGTCAACTATGGCGATTGTCCCTCGCGCGCTGCCCTCGTTTGTCGCCGCCCGTGAATCTATTGCTGACGGCTCAACGGCCGCTCCCGTTTGTCAGATCCTCGGCCCCTTCATCACCAAATTCGCTGGAATCAGCACCCATGGACGAATCCGACTCAGATGCTGAACCCGCGCCGAGGGGCGGCGCTACCGATGAGGATGATAAATACCCCGTGGACGGCAAGTTTACGAGCGAGGCGGAAAAGGCCGAAATCATGGCCATGCGTGAAGTTGACCGGGAACGTATTCTCGCGGAACGTATGGACGAGGTCGAGCGCCAGCGACAGAGACGTCGCCTCAGACAAATGATTGAGGAAACGGAGCGCAGGAATGTCAAGAAGAAGCGCAGCGCCGACACTGCAGAGTTGGAGGACGGCCAACGAAGGGCTTCACGGCAGCGTACCGGCAAAGGCAACGAGTCCGCCATGGACTCTCTCCGCCGAGCCCGCGCCGAGAAGGCGAAGCGCAAGGAAGACCAGACGCGCGGACGAGCTTATTCCCCTACACGACGAGCTTCGGATGATGAGGGCAGTGGTGATGATTTTGGCCGCGCCAGGTCTCGGACGCCGGAGAAGGAGCAAGAGAAGGAAGCGCCAGCTGCTGAGCTCAAGGACTTTGAGCGTGTGCGACTTGGCAGAAACGAGTTTGCTCAGGTCTGCTTCACACCAGGGTTCGAGGCCGCCATCGTCGGCTGCTACATCCGAATTGCTCTGGGCCCTCACCCCGAGACTGGAGTTGAGCAATATCGCATGGCCGCCATCAAGGGTGAGTAGCTGCACCGGCACGACGGCAGGGACGTCAGGCCGCTAACCAGACGTGACATGCGCGCAGGCTTCACCACCAGCCGGCCGTACGCCCTCAGCGGGCCACAGGGGCCCTTCGTCACCGACCAGTACGTCAAGGCCGCGCACGGCAAGGCAGTCAAGGAATTCCCCTTCATCGCCGCGTCGAGCGGCAAGTTTACCGACGTGAGTGCGACCCGCGACCGGCCTGCACGGGCGGGGGAAAGCTTCTAACCACTCGCGCAGACCGAGCTCAACCGTTACCAGGTGACGTGCGCCAACGAGAACGTCAAACTGCCCACCAAGGCCCATCTCACGGACAAGATTGACGAAATCAACAACTTGATCAACCACAAGTGGACGGGCGAGGAGATCAAGACTCGGCTGGCCAAGAGGAACGAGCTCAAGCGCCGATTCGACCCCGCCGAAAGGGAGCGCGTCGGCAAGCTGCTAGACGAGGCCGTGGCTCGCGGTGACGAAACCAAGGCGCAGGAACTCCAGGAAGAGCTCGAGCAGCTCGGCACGCAGCGCTTAGCGTTCCGGACGAGCCTCGGCTCGTCAAAGAACATGGACGGACCCCGGGCCGCCACGGAGCAGGACCGCCTGGCGGAGCGCAACCGCGAAAACAGACGGATGAACGCCGAGCTCGTCCGCAGGGCCCAGCTCAAGGAGAAGGCCAGGTCTCGCGAGATGGAAATGGCCCTTAAGCGGGGCGAGCAGGTGGCCGAGGATCCGTCGCGGCGTCTCCGGACCAAGGCCAAGTTTGTGCATGATGTCAACGACGCGTCGCAGAAGCCGTCTGCCAACGGAAGCGAGGTCGGCACGCCGGCAAACGGCACGCCCAAGGTGGCCGCTACGAAGCCCGAGATGATGTCTCACCTTGCAAGGTTACAGGAGAAGAAGTACTCGGAGAGCAACGGAGTGCCGGGGATCCATAAGCCGCTCATGGACGACGATGTCATTGGCGCGTTGGATCTGGACATTGACGTGGAGATTTAGACGACGCATCCGTCGCGGCTTGGCTGGTCAAGTTGGTAATTTCGGGCAGGCACGGGTGCATTGATGGGCGTTTTGGACAAAGCATTGCGTGGACGGGGATATCGAGCAACAAGACCATGGCAAGATGACACATTACCCGCTTCGCCGGAAATAAAATAGATGCCTTTCTATTGGAGCGTGGACAGTTGAACTACGTAGTTGACGTTGTGTCGCGACCCGTCATCATCCATCCGCCTGGGCAAGAGGGAAAACAGGGGGCGTCTGCTCCGCGGCCAAAGACTGCCCAGGGCCCCGGGCGTGTACAGACGTCGCCGTCGTCGCCGTCGTCGCCGCCGTCGTCTACTCAGTCCCTCTTTATCCGTCTCCTCGTCTGGGGGTCCAAGTCGTCCAACTTGCCCAGCACATGCCTCCGGTACCAGAAGACAAGCTTGGCGACGACGTGCCTGGTGAGCATGTCCCAGGCCAGCGCGAGCGCGTGCCCGAACGAGGTGCGGTCGCGTGTCAACGCACCGTCCACCTCGTCCTCGTAGCGCCGGCACACGTCGAGGTACAGCCCCGGGTCGTCCGTCACGACGCCGTCCATCAAGGCGCTGCCGCCGGCGCCGGCCCCCCCGCGCGGCGACTCGTTGCGCTCGACGCACCACCGCATCCAGCGCGGGTGGTTCACGGTCCACGCCCACAGCGGGCGGCGCGCGGCGCGCACGTCTCTCATGAACCGGCCGCCCTGGCAGGGGCGCGCGAGCGTGTGCAAGGCCATGTCGAAGCCCGCGTTGGGCGTGGGCAGGAAGTGCCGCGCGTAGGAGAGCGAGAAGCCGATGTGGGCGACGGCGTAGTCGGGCAGGGTCCTGCGCGAGGCCTCGAGGACCGACGCCTGCGTGCGTTTTCACGTCCCTTTAGCATGCTTGCAAGCGTCCCCGCGGGGGCGGGGAGGGTCGAGGCGAGACCTACGTTCCAGCATCCGAGGACGATGCGCCTCTGCCACGGCGTCGAGGGTGGCACCCGGGCGACGGCGCCGCTGATGGCGTCCAACAGGTCTTGGGGGTCGTCGTCGAGCTGCTTGTTTCTGCGCCGTCAGACGTGTCTTGCCGCTGCGAGGCTTGGGTTTGGGGCGGAGCGACGGGACCTTGATGTCGAGCAGGACCCAGGGCCGATGGCGGTTGTGCTCGCCGTCTCGCAGCCTGTCTTCTTCGACGAGCCACTCCAGGAGGTCCTGCAGCCGGGCAAGGCCTTGCTTCGGCTCGCGGAGGGTCTCGACGGTCGACAGGTATTCCCAGTCGCAGTCGGCTAGCTTCTTGTCTATGCCGAAGCACCGAGCGAGAGTCGCGTCCTGGACTAGATTCAGCGCCGTGGGCCGAGGCGACACATCCGACACCCTGATGTCGGTGGCCGGATTCCCGCGTCGAGGAAACTCACGTGCGACAGCACGGCCACGCCGTCCCTCGACAGGTGCACGTCCGTCTCGATGGCATGCGCGCCGACCTCGACGGCGCCTTTGAAGGCACCCATGGTGTTCTCTGGCCACGACGCTTTATACCCTCTGTGTGCTATGGCCTGTGGGAGGAGTCGCGCAGGATCCCGCTTGGACGGGAGGGCGGTCGTCCATGGCGCTTTGGGTTCCGAGTCAGCAGACCGTGGACTCTGTGCGTTCTGTTTTGCATGTCTGTAGTACCGTCTGGGATGTCCCACGACACGTCGTCCCCGTCTCCAGGCAACGGCGCTGCCTTCTCATCCGCCATCTTTGGCTACAGCAATGTGTGGCCTGCGACGTCCCCGAGCGGGCGGTTTCGGTTTCGGTGTCGGTGTCGGTGTCGGATCGAGCGGCTGCAAAGACGGCGTTTGGAGGCAGGGAAGCTGTGGGATCGCGCCGATGGCGTGGTTGACAGGACGAGGACGGCGGATGCAAGTTGTGCCGCCTTTCTAATACGTAAATGGAAGATGAGCGAGAGGTTGCGGGTTGCGGCCCACTGTAGTAATGTCGAAGGATGAAAGGATGGGGCGTCGCTGATGTTGCTGTTTTTGGCAATTTGCATCCATCTTGAGTCGTGACGGTCAGAGATTTGGCATGGCGTGGGCGGATTTGCATCTGATGGGCGCAACAATGGAGAGAGTGGCTGTTTACACACAAATACTACCCCAGTTTTATCCGTCCGGTACATCAAGATATAAATAAATACAACATAAATACATACATGTATACGCCGCTCAGAGTATTCAAACATCCCCGTTAGTTGATGAGTCATGTCTCATCGGATCCTGTGGCAGAAGACCCCGAGTTCGTTGTAGGTGGGAAAAAAAAAGAAAAAATAATAAAGAAAAGAACATTGTTTACTCGTCACGTCGTCAGCTCCTCCTGAACGCCATCATGCCCAACGACGAAATCAAATCCTGACCGCGGACACGCAACACCTCGGATTTTGTCACACAGAAAAACTCTCAAGGTCAAAGGCAAAAGCTGCTGGCATGTGCAATTCATTGAATTCTGCGCTTCCCACGCTCAGGCCCAACTCTGACGGCGCAACTTCTTCGCCCGAGCTCAAGCTGTCGTCACTCATGCTCAGCACACTTTGTGGAGGCTGCGGATTCCGTCCAGAATCACCAACGTCGGTGCTGTTCATGTCCCAAGAGTCTGGCGACCAACCAGCACTGTTCGGGTTCGCAGGCATTGCCTCGCTAGGGAGACTTGCTCCACCATAGATGGCGTCGTAGACATTGTTGTCCATTGATCCGAGGAGTGCCTCCCATTCAGAGTTGCATACGACCGCCATCTTTGCCGCAGGGTCGGCACTACCCGTCAGCTGGCTAGAGGGCGACGCTGGCAATCCCGACGCCTGCATGTGGTATTTCCCACCCTGTGAAGACGGACCAGTGTGAGACGGAGTGTTGTTTAGAGACAAGTAATCAAGATTGGGAATGACGCGGGATATCGGAACGTTATTGCTGACGCTGCTCGGCTGTGATAATGACAAGCGGCGGCCTTGGTGGTTTCTCCATGTCTCAGAAGAGGTGGCACCATCCAGAGACTGCCGCAATCGAGGGTAGAAGTCGGGCTCCGCAACATGCACGTCGGCCACGGCCATGCGGCACTTTCCGCCATGCTCTTCTTCAAGGTCTGGCTTCTTCTTGGAGCCTTCGGATGATGAACGCTGTGATGACGGCGCCATTGTTGCTAGGGGTGGAAGAGGGCTTGGATGTTCGTCAACGCGAATAAAATTACCTGCGATCCGGGCTAGGTCGATGCATCCTGGCGCCTTGGCGTGATTCATCGATTTGATTGCAAAGTTGACCAGTTTCTCAATGTCGCGGCTCAATTTGCTATCCGCCTTCAGGTCGACGACCTGGTAGAGAAGCGTCAGGCCGCAGAGAGCCAGAAGGTCAAATTTATTGAGACAGAACGAAAAGCTCATGTTTCTCTCCTCGAGCAGCTGGATAATTTGAATGATTCGCTTGCTGGAATCCGCAATGGAAATCATGGCCGGTGCGGCCTTCGGACCAAGACTGGAGCCAACAGCGGGACGATAGATCAGGGTTCGGATATAATAGTATGCCAACGCCTGCAAAACAGTGCCGTGGTCTAGTTAGTGGCCGTCCCAGCAGAAGACCGGAGAAGAAAAAGAAAAACCTACCAGAATGGGAGATCTGCTTCCAGTCACGTCCGTTGATGGCTTATCCTGAGAGAAGTTCAGTCGTAGATGCGCTGGTAAGTCGTCGTACCAAGCATCAAGGTCCGCATCCAGGGTAGCCATTTGTTGCAAAGAGAGCTCGTGGTTAGCCACGGCAGGATAGTTCTTTTCCAAAACTGCCGCCATGATACGGGTCGCCCGAAATAGAGCCAAGGCGCTGGAAAGTCGGGTATGCTCTCCCGGCAATGTCGGTTGAAACCCCTTCTCCGTTATGTACTCATCATCTGTATCGGATGGATACTCGGTGTGGACATCAACCTCCTTGAGCATTTTTGGCAACCCAAGAGTAGCAGCAGTAAAACTAACATGTTGTCAGACACGACTGGTGGGAGAGACTTGAAACGCGGGCCAACGTACCAGTCGAGTGTATAAAGAGACCAAAACACTTTTTTCCTCGTCTCCAGAGTCAGAGCGCCGAAAGAAAACCGCTTCTGGTTCTGATGCAACCCCAATCGGTGCGAGAGCCCAACAGCCAGGCCCTTGAAGTGCTGGACGCGTTTATTATCTGCCCTGATGGCGCAGTACAAGAGCGCAAGAATAAAGCACTGGAGCGTGCCCATGGTGTTCTCCAGAACCACGGATTCGATCGCTTTGGTCCATTGCTTCTCACAGGCGGCCAGTAGTGAGGAGTCGGGGTGTTCAGATGAAACTCCAGCAATGCTGAAAACAAGATGCAGCTGGGCCATTTTGTGGTGGCATTTGAGCTTTTCGGGATCGGCCACGAACTCTTCGTATATGCGAAGAAAGGTCGGTTTGTGCAAAACTGGAAATAGCGGAGCCCACTCTTGGAAGTAGACATTGACACACCGATCAGAAAAGATGCGAGGAGGCAGACGGGAGGCCGGGCTGGGTTCCTCTTGCGTCAATGGCGCGCATCCTTGAACATGCAGAAAGGCTTCTGGGTTGAATTCATTGCACGATTTCCCGCTCTGTCGAAGTTTTTGCTTGAAGGAGGCTGTTGGGAGACTGTTAGTCGACGCAATCACAATGAAGCTCGGACTTGGGAGATGTGCGTACTGATGAACGAACGACCACTGGACGGGCCCATGAAGTAGGAATCTGAATTTTCGACGCCAAAAAGCAACGGCGAGCCTTGCACGCGGAATGTATCCCCCTTGGCATTAGATGCCGGACTGTCCTTGGACGCGTCGGGCGAAGGTACTGTGCGGATGGCAGACGAGAGTGACGCTTGGCGGCGGCGGTGGTGGTGGTGGTGGTTGCCATGCACGGCGGAGAGCATATCTATCTTTTCGTCCTTCTCGTCCAAGAGGTCTTTGAGCTCCCTAACCTCGGTTTCCAATTGCCGAACTCGCTCCTCCAAAGATTCTGTGTATCCGCGGGGGAAAGCACGGCGACTCAGCTTGTCGCTGGTGCGGCATTCAAAACCAACATTGGCACACTGCGAACAAGTCGGACGGACGCCATCACAACGAATTTTCTTGCTGCGGCAACGGTCGCAGGCCTGGGCAATACGGCTTTGAGCGCTGTTGCCCACCTTGATGACCTTCATGGGCAGAATGCCTGGCATTTTGGCGATTTTGTTGAACGAACTCTGCAGAACTACAAACGGCAGGCACTCCTGCTGTATCGAATGAGAAGCCAGCCAAAATCATGTATGATGGACAATGGCAATTGCCCAGACTGAGACTGAGAGTTGCTGGGCCCTCGCTGGTCGGCGACTGTGTAAGCTGGGGAGTACGCGCAGAGGGAAACGTTGATTGGCGAGTCAACGCCAGTTCTCCCTGCCGCCACCACGGGCGGACGCCTGTTGCTTTGCTTGAGAGCCCCTTTGATTCTGAAATCTCGCAAAGGATGTGCTCGCGGTCTCGACTCTCTCGACTTTCCAGATGTGACGTCGGTCGTCCTCGTCAGTGCGTCAGTGGCGGAAGACCCGAAGAAGAGCCAAGTTGGCGTGTCTGTGCTCGATACCAGAGTGGGGAGGTTTGGTGAAGTCGGGAATCGGAACAGGGCAGAAGAAGAGAAAACGCGGGATAAGTAAGTTACGTAGAAGCGGGCCGGGCAAGGACGGCGTGAGAAAGGATTTGTGGAGTGGACGACGAATTGATGGAAATGGGAAGAGTTATGGAGATGTCCGGGGCAGGATGGTCATGTCATTGCTCATGCTCATGCTCATGCTCATTCATGGTGGGACCGTTTCGAGCCCGGCCGCTTGTGAGCCAGCGCCTCTTGTTGGCGTCGAGATGTCGACAGGCTACAGCCGTGGTCTCAGACGGTCCGACGGTCCGTAGTACCACCGTGCTACGGTAGGAGGTACGGCAGCACATGGCACATTGTCCAGGACTCCTTCCTCTGTTCTGCATCTTATTATAGCCAAGCTAGCTGCCCGATCCGGGGAAGGTGCCACGGACCAGATTCTGCTTGAGCCACGAGCGGCGGGGAAGTGCGGCTCTGCGTCTTCGGCCATTCCCATCAAAAGAAAAACAGCCTCGCGTCCGCCTCTACCACGACGTGGCTTTGGCTCGTTCTCCTCATTGACAATGGAGGCAAGTCTGCCACCATGGCTTATAATGGACAGTCTTGCGAAAGGCTATGGAACGCTGCCGCGAAATTGTCACCTGCTTCGCTCAAGACTTCCAACGCTACACGACGGCTTTACTCATAGGTTACGCGCAGGCTTCTCTTTGTACGTTGCATCGCGTTCATATCCCTACGCTCCCAGGTGTCACCAGATAGCAGTAAATCAAGAAATATGTCGCGCTTATTCCGGCAAAACTTGTTCGCTGCACCCGCAACATCGGCATCTGACATGTCCAAGATACCTACGAGTCTCGCAAGTTTAGACTCCAACTTCTCTACCCCGGATTTTGGTCACCTAAATGCGGGGAAATAAAAAAAAACCTCTTGTGTTGCCCGGTCCATTGGGATGCTGGATACGAGTACTACTAGGGTCGCAGGTGCTAACTTTCTCCAGTTCAAGGTTGTCCTGAGACGTGGCTTTCGCGCCAAGCGTACTTACACCACACTCCCCATGGCGCTGGTTTGTTTGTGCAAGAGGCGGTGACATCACCATGAGCTTGGCTATTGTTCTGTTGCAGCTTGGCAGTCTTGCCTTTTGCCAAAATTCGGCGAGCCTGCCTCAATTGAACATGGTGCCCTCCATTTCCATTCCTTTTCAAGCCAGATTTGCAGGAGTTGGGCGTATTAGGGTCAAGGGCCAATGGGGACGGCAACCCTTGGGGTCTCGCTCTGCTCGGTCGTCATTCTGCCGATCCAACTTGCCGGGCCAACTACTCCGCTCTCCCCTTCTGTGCCCAGAGAAGTGCCGAGCTCTGACAACCAACCGTCATCAAAGTAGAATGCCTCGATACAATGTCTCGGATCATCCATTTTCGAGAATTCACACGTCGTAGAGAACAAGCCGCACCCCTAGCGTCCGTAATAAACGTCTTCCCATTGGTCCCAAGGGTTCTCCCAAAGTGAGCTGTCCGGTATCTTTTGCGGGGTGGTAATGTCATTAGGTCCATCCAGAAATTTGGGAAGTTGAGATTTGTCGCAGGCGTGTTGCCAACGTCTTGCGAGGAATGACTTGACGAATTAAGTTGTGACCTCGCTTTGTCTTTTTTGGGTAAACTGGTTTCAAAGACGGAATCATTTGGGAACTGTGTTCGAAATAACCTGGCATCGTTATCCTACAACCAGGAAAAACTAGCCCAGGGCCCCTTCTATGCAGCGGAATGGGCGCTGGTACAGGATAGCATTCGTGCCCAAGGCCAAAGCAAGCAAGCTCGGACAAGGTACCAACCGCAAGTATTTTCATCGTGCGGGAAGCGGCGGGTTCTCAAGTAGTAGTTACTCCGTAGTAGACAGGTTTATCCACCGTCAACTAAAGTCGTCTGCATCGTCATTGGTTGCTGTCGTGGCTTGCTCCTCTTGCTCGATTGGGAAATCTTCCTTCGACCCGAGATATGCCACCACGTGGTCGTCCGCAAGAAGATTCGTCATCTGGAACAACATAAGAAAAGCCATATTAGTTCTGTACTCTTTCAAAAAGCATCGAATTGCTTCCACCAATCTCATGTCAACACGTTCTTGGTGCGGCTGCCGGCTTTCCCTTTATTTTCCCGCCACATGGCTTCCCGATTCTTGCAGGAGCTGGGGTTTTGACAGGCTACAGCCTTCAAAAAAAAGGTTGTACCACAAAGAACAGCGCAATTGACAGACAGATGGACTGACGAGCGGGAAACATGGGCAGCGTATCAAATACAAAACTCACCTCATCATTCAACGCCTCCAACGCATTGGCCAACAATTCACTTTCCACGTCCTTCAATATTCTCGCGGCTGCCATGCGTTCCGCTCTTTGCAAGCCCGCCGCCTCCAAAGGTTCTGGTTGATGGTCTGAAGGACCGTGTGTGATTCGCTTCCATTGCTCCCCGACCTTCTCATGCAGCACAGTGATGGCCCTTAGTTGGAACACGGGACAAAGATGGTGGCCCCGAATCAAGGTTTCGAAATCACCCGCTTGATCTGTCACATCTTCACCCTGCCAAAGAAGTCTCAGTTGCCTGTCCCCCGCAGTATCTTGGAGCAGCCGGAACGACAAACCATCCTCTTCGTTGAGGCACATGAGGTACACAAACGGCGAGTGCCACGCGACCGAAGACGCTTCCAGCGCAACTTGGCCGTCTTTCCGTGAGATTGTCAATGTCGGCACGGCGCTGAAAATCCGCAACTTTGCCTTTGCCAGAGGGTCATCAGGGAATGGATCCAGGCGCAGCGTCAGCTTGTGCACAATGTTTTTGGGGTCGATGAAGCCGTAGCTGAATAGCGTCTCAGAAGCGGGTTTAGCGTCGCCGTACGAGATTGTGACTTCCTCGCCGCTACGAACCTGACATCTCGGCCGGATGAGAAGCACAACATTGCCATTGTCGTCTTCCTCGTAATAAGCTGTGGCTGTAGTGGAATGGTTCACCATGTCAATGGCCGGGACCATGGCGGTTCCTGACCGTGGTAGCTCCAGGCACCTTGAGCGGTACCAGGCATCTACCAATGCCCAGTCTTGGAGACAAACCCCTTCTCTGCTCCATAGAAAATCGTTCCAGAATGGAAGATGCTCAGACACATCACGTAGTGCGTCAAACTCGTCGCTTAACGAGAGTAGTTTGGCCTCCAGGGCAGCCTATCACGCTGTCAGTCTAGACCAGCTTGATTCGCGACAAGGTAAGAAGACAAGAACAGTGATACAATCTCGGGGTGGCCAAGCAACAGGGCCCATGGAAGATATCGGGAATTGCGGATAACAAACGAACCTCAAGCGACGTCCCAATCAAGAGTAGGCGTTCCGGCTCCGTCCACATGGTTGGAACAGGAACAGCCCGGGGCAGGAGGCGGGTGTACTCTGTCCATGGAGTAGGAGAAAGGCCCCCTTTGGGGTGACTGGCTTGGGCGAGGTGAGAGACTAAATAGAGCATGATGCGGTGTCTTGTGGACTGTCTTCCGTTAGCAAGCCGCGTCATTCGGGCTTGGTATGGCGACTTACTTGTCGTCCCACTGCGTCAAGTAACTGCTTAAAGTTCTGGTCGACCTTGGCAAAGTCATCCACTGCCTCAGCAGACAGCACTAGATCGTGAGGAATCTTGACAACATGTTCGCTCGCGCCATCCGACTCGGCACAATGCAGGTCCTCCTCCGCTACGAGCCCGAGCCCCTTGCCATCGCCAACGTCCTGGAGCTTGACGTGCGAGAAGCGAATGTCGTTGAGATGAGCCCACGCGGGGAATGTATCGATGGGGAGTTGGGACAACATGACTGTGAGTGCCGTGTGTTTGCTGGAATCGAGTCTGGCTCGGAGATCCGGACAGACGACGGTGTACGAGCGTATTCTACGCGGCGACGGGTAAGCTCGAAGGATTTCCACATGTGAGCGGCCTAGGTGTGCAGGTATGGTACGTTATGTAGAGATGAGAGACGAGTCGAGTTTCGATGTGGCCGTCACTTGTGGTTCGAGGCCAGGCCCCACCGTTTGTCAGGTCCTTGCAAGGAAGATGTCGCACAGAAATGGGTTTTTTGTTATGTAACTACTCCGTACTTGAGTACGTTGAGATTCCTTCCGTCTGAAATGAAAGAAAAGACCTGAATGGGGTGGTTCGTCGGACCCATCACTACCCCAGTGCCACCCACTGCCTTCAATCTTATCTTCGATTGCTGCAGAAACGTCAACTTCACGGCGGGGCTGACCATCAGCCTCGTCCACCCCCAATCCTCAAATTTTGCCACTTCAAGGCCCGATCCGATCCTTGTCTACCAAGTATCTGCATCTCCGACTCTTGAATTGTACATTTCACACCCGCGCAGCGAAAGGACCCCGACAAAAATCCCCTGGGCCCGGCCCCTCCCCTCCCCGACGGCAAAACGACCCCCGCCATGCCTCGCGATCCGCTCATCGGCCTTGTCGGCAAACCCTCCGCCGGGAAGAGCACGACTCTAAACAGCCTAACGGATGCTTCGTCTAAAGTCGGTACGCAAAAGGCCCAGCACGCCCCCTCGACGAATTTTTCCCAAACCGCTGACGACAACCTGCCACTCTCCTCCAAACAGGCAACTTCCCGTACGTAGCCTCATCCTGTACGCCCGCCCAACCTGTCCCGGCCATCTAACATGTCATCCACAGCTTCACCACCATCGACCCCCAAAGAGCGATAGGCTACCTCCAAATCGACTGCGCCTGCGCCCGGCACGGCGTCTCTGACCGCTGCAAACCCAACTACGGCGCCTGCGTCGACGGCCGCCGCTCCGTGCCCATCGAGCTCCTCGACGTCGCCGGCCTCGTCCCCGGCGCCCACCAGGGCCGCGGCCTGGGAAACAAATTCCTCGACGACCTCCGCCACGCCGACGCCCTGATACACGTCGTCGACGCCTCGGGGACCGTCGACGCCGAGGGCAAAGAAACCCGCGGCTACGACCCCTCCGTCGACATCGCCTGGTTGCGCGGCGAAATCGTCGCCTGGATCCTCGGCAACCTCATGCAGCGCTGGCCCAGCATCCGTCGCCGCCACGTAGCCGTCAAAGCCACCGCCGTGGAAACCCTGCAGGGCCAGTTCTCCGGGTACGGCGCCACGTCGGCCGTCGTCGCCCGCACGCTCGACAGGGCCGCCGTCAAGGAGCCCCTCGATCAGTGGTCCGACGACACAGTCGCGCACGTCGTCAACGCTTTTGTCGACGAGAAATTCCCCACCGTCATCGCCCTCAACAAGATCGATCATCCGGACGCCGATAAGAACATCTCCAAAATCGCAAAGATGCAAGACCCCAAAACAATCGTTCTTTGCTCGGCCATTTCGGAAATCTTTTTGCGCAAAATGGCGAAACAGGGATACGTCAAGTACGTCGAGGGCAGCGAGTTTGTAGACACGCGCCAAGATCTTATTGAGCAGGGCGACCCCGACGGCGGCGGCCTGAAGGAGCTGGATGAAAAGAACCGCAACCGGATAGAGAATCTCAAGGACATGGTGCTTTACAGATTCGGCTCGACGGGCGTCGTGCAGGTTTTGACGAGGGCGGCAGAGCTGCTGGGGCTGGTGCCCGTCTTTCCGGTGAGGAATACCGCAACCTTTAGTGCTGGGGCTTCAGAGTCCAAGGCCGTGTTTCGGGACTGTGTGCTTGTCAAAAAGGGGTCGACGGTCGGCGATGTAGCCAAGAAGGTCATGGGGGATGCGCCAATTGCGTACGTTGAAGGCTTTGGGGGCTTGAGGGTAGCCGAGGACGACTTTGTTGCTGTCGGGAGGAATGATGTGAGTATTCTTTGAGATTGGTTTTTTTCTTTGTTTTTTTTTTTTGTTTTTTAAAACAAAAAGAAAAATAAGTGGTACGACTTGCTGACTCTTTGGTTGTTTGTTAGATTTTATCGTTCAAAGTTGGCAGGACATAGATAGATCGGTCAACAGGGCTGGCCTTTGTGTTTGGAAACAGCATGCCGAGGAGTTGGGTCATCTAGAGCGTAAACGGTCAGAGGAGTGATATCAATCATAATGTCATCACCTACAACATATCATACAGACATGAACTGGTATTTCCATATCCAAATCAGCAAAACACTTTCCAATGTTGTTCCTTATCGGGCGTCCAAAACAGAAATAGCTCATGCGGTCGTCAAGATTCGTCCAACGACACTGGCCATGCTCGTGGCTGATGCCCCCATATCAAATTGACGCCTTGGCTCTCTGAAAATGTCCTCAACTGATCCATAACCGCACCCTTGACCGACGTTGTATAGATTTTCTTTACTGTCGTCACCTTCAAAATGGCTGCCACAACCAGAGCGAATTCCGCCTCCTCATAATGCTCCGAGAAAATACTGAGCGTTTCCAAATTTGGAAAGCTTGCCAGAAAATGAGGCAGGGGTAGGTCATCATCGTTTCGAGGATATAATCTGAATCGGAACCTATAGCAGCCCATGGACGTGATGGATGCCGCGCCGCGGAGCCATTCGTATCCCTTGAGGTGAGCAATGCTTCTTTCTCCAACGCGATCGTTCAATGATTCTGTGGGAAATACAATGTCGAATGAATTTAGTTTTCCCATGCTCAAGGCATCAGAAAACACGATTCTCAGGATCTCCGGTGAGATGCACAAGGACTTGGTGGCGAGTGAGTGCAGGTTTCGAAATTCGGGATACTGAGGTATATCAATATCACCGTATAACGTTCGACTGTTACTGAATACGCGATGCCTGCCATGTCTATCCTCGTTTTCTGAAGGGATGTCGAAGCGGATGTGTCGTAGAGAGTTGCCGTGGTTCAGGCATGTCAGGAGACGCAGTGTCAGGAGCGAATTTTCGACTTGGGATATGGGCCCGACAACGGACGATTCTTCGAATATGAGGACTTTGAGGTTGTTCCACATTGTATGCCATTTTTCTCGCCAGCTGAAGAGGGATTTTGAGTCAAGGTTCGGAATGTTGGGGCCGATCCAGAGTTGTTCAAGCCGAGGGAATGCGTCAGAGAGAAAGAACTATGACGACGTTAGTCAATCTTGTAAACTGTGTGTACATGATTTTCCCCCCTTCTTTTTCAAGCACCTACAATAGGGAATGACTGGCGTAACGTAGAAATGTTGCTCATCCGCAAAGTCTTTAGGTTGGGGAGAAATGGCACAGACTGCGTCATATACCATTGCTCTGGTATTCCGGTGAGAACAAGATGCTCCAGCGAAGCTGCGGCGTTGTTCAGAAATGCCAGAGGAAATCCGCCTATTGGAATGACGGGTGTACTCCAAGCTGGTTTAGCGGGATCACCAGTGCCGTTGATGGAAATATGCCGTAGCTTTGTCCAGACATTCTCGTTGGGTGGGAACATCAGAATATCGAACTGGGGGCCAATTTCCAAATGTTCTAGTCTCGTGGATGCTCTCAACAGAAGCATCAACTTTTGTTGGTTTAGCAGAAATGCTTTCGGCAGCGGGATGACAATCTTCCTTGCTCCGCCCTTGCCTGCCCAAGACAACATCTTCTTCAGAGCGTCGTATCGCGGTGCACGCTTCATGCCCCTACCAGGAAATATCATTGTTCTCCATAATCTGTCATGCAAAGGACTGGTCAAGGTGCGCCTCCAGAGCTTGCAAACGCTGAGGCATGGACTAAGCAACACTGTCAGTACAAGAATTCCTCGGTACATTCAAAGAAGGGGCGTACGGCAACTCGGCAAATTCCAAGTATGAGAATATGAGCATCACAATCTCCGTGGGAAGTCGCAGGGGATCCTTTTTAGAAAAATGCCTGTGAAGCGGTGTTCGTGCTTTGTAAAGTTGCTAGACTCACGTTAGCTTTACATGCCGTCCGCGAGCGCGGGCTTGTCCGGGTATGTATACCTGCAACTTTGGCGATGACGCCACATTTGTATCTTTGTTGACGTCGATGCCGGCATTGTAAATCTTCCAGGCGAATTCATGGTTCTTTTGCAATCGCGCTACTTTGCCCAGACGAAGATATCCCTTTGCAGTCTATTGTCAGTGTGAAGGGCCTTGAGCCAGGAAAGTCGACTTACATCTGGAAGTCTTGGTGCCAGCTCCAACATCCATTCCGCATCCTTCCTAGCACGATCCAGTTTGCCCAAGGCTTCAAATGTGGCAGCACGGTAGTCCAAGGCCTGGATGTGGTTCCTATTGTCGCACTTGTTGAAAGTTCTGCCGATTTCGCATTTGCAGTTGTACATGGCTTCCTTGAAAATAGACCCCTCTTCGGAAGCGACCCTTTCAAAGTTCTTGCATATACATCTCTCACGTTTAACGCCTCTGGCGCAAGGACAATATTTCATCGCCTATCAAAACGTCAGAAGAGGCTTCCCTCGCACGCAGTATGGGCTCTCACTCGTGTGAATTGTTCCAGAGCCCGTTTGTATTGCTGAGCCTCATAAGCCTGGCGACCAGAGTCAACCATCTCAGCGAGAGCAGTCTCTCCTTCGACATCACGGGACGACGACATCATGTTGTGCAGAGATTGCGAAAGGCGCCGCATGGATAACGGCGGTGACCTTGCGTCCTTAGCTGTGCAACCAGGATCGGCAACGTGGTGAGTGCTTCGGACGGTAGCGCGACGAACCAGAGATCAGCGGGATAGCAAGCGAGTTCGACTTGACTGACCATGACCGCGCATCGTCCATCCGGAGTGGAAAAGTTTTCAACATCAGCCATGCGGTCTCGCTGGCAAAACAAGTAGGCGTCATTAATCATGTTGTGCTGTGTTGAGTCGCGCGCTGATGCGAGCTCAGCCAAGAGCTCTTCTGGACCCCCACTTGCGCTCCTGCTAACTAGTTTCAACGTTCCCCAAGGTCCCTCCAATGCTCCTTCCTCCTCACCTCTCCTTGGCGCTCGCGCCCGCCAATCCAAACCACGCCTGCGGAGCACCCAGTGATATACATCAAGTACCTACGAGGACTTCAGTACTTAGAGTACTCAAGTACAGATTATAGTAGGTTATTACTTCGTATGCACATGTAGCATCAATTCAGTTATGGCTGACCGGGTGGAAAACGCTCATGATACCGCCCATAGAGAACTTTTTTTGTAAAGCCAACAAAACATGGTCTGTGAATTCATATTCATCAAACATCGTGCATCGGTCAATCGTTGGTCCTCTCTACTCTCAAACTGATGGTTCCAGCTCTGAATCCACTCACGCCGTTGCTTATGTAGCACGCCTCTCCGTCAACAAGTTGATCAACTCTGATTTCTCGCTCGGCCGCCACGCGCCTACCCAATATGATTAGCAATTTCAACCAGCCTGACCAATTCGTTTCGACTCACCGTTCTAGGGCCCATCGTCGGGACGTGCCATCGTTTCCTCCACTACCATCATGCCTGCTATATTTGGCAGACACAGGCGGCGTAATCCACCTCCCATCACGCCAAAAGTATGGTGTCGTGGTGCTTCCCTCCATAATGCTGTTATCCTCTTGGTTGATTACCAGGACTTCTACGCTATTCGCTGCATGAACAGAGCCTATTTCTGCTCTTTCCCGGGCTTCGTCGTACAGTTTCCGATTGGTCGTTTTGAAGTGAGTGAATTCGGACCTTGGGGAATCGACACTGTCCACGACGACAGCCAGTCGCGGCGGAACCTGCGGCTGGCTTGGGCTCGGTGATTTTCCTGGTTCGGGGAGTGCCTCTGGAAAAAGGTTACCAATGTCGAGAGCAGCAGTGCTGTATTGATGGAATGTGATGATGCCTTCTTTGGTAACCAAGATTCGTAGTCGAAATGGGCCAGTCTCTGAAGGGTCAACTGCAGCCTCTGCCGCTCTGGCAAGGTTTGCAAGACCTGCATCTCCAGATAGCTTGTCAACCACCGTGTCCCATCCCCAATGCGCAGCAGCTCGCAGGATGCGATCTCGGTGATAATCGAGCATGTAAAGTGGTGACTCATTTCGGTAGTTCCATCCAGCATACGCCAGACCCATGGCTGGGACCTGTTTGAGCTTGACGTCAAATCTGAGCGACGTAAAAAGAGAAAAGTCGTTTGCCATGGTGACAGCTGCAATCCATAGACTTGGTCCGAGGAGAAGGGTTTGTTGTTGGTTTTTATTGTAGCATGTAGTCGCAGTCGCAGGGTATATGCCGCCTCGACGCCTAGACACCTACAGGATGGAGACGCGATGAGGCAGAAAGGGTCCACAGATGTTGGGCAATGCAGTTATAGTAAAGGCCGTGATGGTTTCCGCCAAACAATCGCTCGACTGACCACGCTTGCCGAGGCTCACGACCCCAAGTTGACTTCTGTGCGACCCATCACGATGCACACAAATAAGGAGCAATCAATTCGACAGCGACAGCGACGAGGCTCCCAACTTCCAAGCCAGGTGCCCCAGAAAACTGGGCCCCGGCGGGCTCAGTGTTACTAAGCCGTGGTCACTGGCCCCTGGACCGACCTTTTCGTGGGCCCGAGCTTGGAAATTTTGCAGCCGGGCGCTCCTTCTGCGCGCGCGCGTTCAGCTTGCAGCACCTCCATCGTCCCGGCCTGCCCTTTGGTCATCGCACCATTTCAGCGGCCGTTCCTTCCTCCTCGTCCCTTTAATATACTTGTTCTTTTTTTTTCTAGCTTCTTATAACTTTACATCGTTTCCATCATGTCTAACCCCCTACCGTCAGTGCCTCCCCTAAGGTCAGCCGCGATCCCCGTAGAGGCGCCCTCGTCGACTTGGGATCGCATTTCCTCTTGGGTGTCAGAAAACAAGACTGTTATCTACACCATTGCTGGTGTTGCTGTAGTGGTCACTGGTGCTGGTGTCGTCTATTACCTGAATTCAGACTCGGTACGTTCCACACGTTCAATCCACACTCTTCTTCGAGTCGCGGCCTGTGCCCCTGAGCCTTCGCATCCCGAAGCAACTGCCAGACTCCTCAATTGGCTTTATTGAAGAAACATGCAGTCCTCGAAACTAACCTTGAATTGCAGCAGAAATCCACACCAGAATCATCCCCCAAGCTCAGCAAGAAGGAGAGGCGGAAGAGGAAAGAAGCCGAGCGCAAGGCTGCCGAGACCAACGAACCCGCCCCAAGTGCATCGCAAGCCAAGAGCGTTGCCGTTGAGACTGAAGACGAAATTCCCGAGATGGACGAAACTACAGTCACCAAGTTATCGCCTGAGCAGCGTGAGCGGTATGCCGCCAAACTCAAACAGGCTGGCAACCGAGCCTACGGTGATAAGGCATACAACAAAGCCATTGGTCTCTATTCTCAAGCCATTCTCTGCAAACCAGATCCTGTCTTCTACTCCAATCGTGCTGCCTGCTACAGTGCTATGAGCGAGTGGGACAAGGTAGTCGAAGACACCACTGCTGCCATTACTATGGACCCCGAGTATATCAAGGCCATCAACCGCCGAGCCACTGCTTACGAGCACCAGAAGAAGTACTCAGAGGCTCTCCTTGATTTCACTGCATCCTGCATCATTGACAACTTCAAGAGCGAGGCAACTGCCCACGCTGTCGAGCGACTTCTCAAGGTCTTTGCCGAGCACCGTGCCAAGGAGATGATCGCCTCTCGGCCTCCGAAGCTGCCCAGCCCTATTTTCGTTGGCAATTATCTCCAGAGCTTCCGACACAAAGACCGCCCTGAGGGCTTGGAAGACTCAGTCGAATTGGATACTGGGTCCGGTAAGGGTCAGCTCCAGCTGGGTCTTCAGAGTCTGGAGAAGAAGACTGGTGAAGGGTATGATGAAGCAAGACGAGCTTTCGAGAAGGCTCTCGAGCTGGGCGATTTGGGCGTGCACGAGGCCTTGGCCTACAACCTCCGAGGTACCATGCGAACTTTGCTCGGAAAACACGCTGAAGCCACGGAAGATTTTGACAAGAGCATCGAGCTCGATCCTAGCATGATTCAGAGTTACATCAAGCGCGCCAGCATTAGCTTAGAGCTTGGCGAGCCTCACAAGGCCGATTCCGAGTTTGCCAAGGCCCTAGAGCATAATAAGAACGACCCTGACATCTACTATCACCGTGCTCAGGCCAGTTTTATCAAGGGCGATCTTGCCGAAGCTCAGAAGGACTACCAGAAATCTATTGATCTGGACAAGGACTTTATATTCTCTCATATTCAGCTGGGTGTAACCCAATACAAGATGGGCTCTATCGCCTCATCCATGGCCACTTTCCGCCGATGCATCAAGAACTTCCCCAAGGTGCCTGATGTCTACAACTACTACGGCGAGCTGCTGCTAGACCAAAGCAACTTCTCCGAGGCTGTTGAGAAGTTCGACACCGCCATGGAGATGGAGAAGCAAACCAAGCCCATGTCGATGAATGTCTTGCCCCTGATCAACAAAGCCCTCGCCCTGTTCCAGTGGAAGCAGGACTTCAAGGAGGCCGAGCAGCTATGCCAGAAGGCTTTGATCAGTGAATCTCCCCATGTTGAATACACATTTAGTCTCCATACTAACGCTACGTGAAGTCGATCCCGAGTGCGACATTGCGGTTGCCACTATGGCCCAGCTCCTTCTTCAGCAGAACAAGGTCACCGAGGCCCTCGCATACTTTGAGCGTGCCGCCGAACTCGCCCGCACCGAGGGCGAGATCGTCAACGCCCTGTCCTATGCCGAAGCTACCCGGACACAAGTCCAGGTCACTGAGAAGTACCCAAAGCTAGCAGCGAAGCTGGCTGGTGGCGGCGGCCCCCCCGGTCTCGGCATGGGCCGATAAACAATCAATCAACCAATTCCAAGTCGTTCTTCTGAGGGGCAGGGGAAAAACCAATATTGCTCTCACCATTTTTCGTTCGGTTAAAAATAGGCAGGATAAACGTGTGGATGAGCTGCAAGTGTAAGTATAGGATGACGGGCAGTGCATTACCTTCGATGAACAGGTTAGATGCATGGATTCTTGGCTCTTGTGATGGGAAGCAGGTATGGATTAAAAACAAGTGCTCGTGTGGTGAGCTTCTTGGTGGTCGGCTGACTTCCTGACTGAATGGACAACATCGGCATAAACATCATTTGGTCGTCTTGTACATTTATGTAGGTACCTAAGTAGGTAACTAATGGAACCTCTCTCTTAAATTTTGTTGTCCCCTCTCAAGCCAAACATGTGTTTGCGACTGCCTGGAAAATCGATCAAGCATACTTAAACACCCGAATTGTCAGATGAGGATCCCGTCGAGTGTGCTGTGCCCCTATGGGCATATTTGAAGATGCCGAATTTGTACCTTGACGAACCCCTGAGGCGTGAAATGGCCCTCTTCCCGGCCACACATTACTGTTCATACAAAATGAACACTGCATCTTCTATCTAAATATAAAACAGCGTTCCCCGCCCAGTTTACATGAGATGCGGCTTTTTTTTTTAATTTTTTTAATTTTTGGCTTGCGAGCCACTTCATCCGCCGCAGATCCATTCAGTACCAATCTTCTTCCCACTGTTGAAATGCTTTGCATATCCAATGACACAAGGCATATATTAGGCGTTGAGTCTGCACCGAGATCTCAACAGCTGAAGAAAAACCTCTTTTGGTGCAGACAGTTTTGATTCCCGCGGCGTTAAAATGTAGGTGATGGGTGTTTATGCCAAACTGACACGCTCAGTTTGAACGCCGAGGCGATACGAGTTAGTTTCGCTCAGTGGCTAGATTCCGCATTTCGTATTGGTAGCATGAAACGAGCCGCCATCACTTCTTGCCACTACTGCACCTATTACTGTTGAGGCAGATGCCCAGCGCAACGCCGAGAGCGACAACGATGAAGATGATGACGACGAGGAGGAGGCACCACCACTTGAGCTTGCGTGCACGACGAGCATGGTCTGTTGCTACCTTGACTTGCTGATTGCCTGCCTCCATGTTGTCGACAGTGTGTTCAGCATGTTGCTCTGTGGCTACGACTGTTTCTTCTTGTTGCTCAACCATGGTGGCAAGTTCCTGGAACAAGAGGGCAAGCTCGGAAGTGTCCTTCTCCAAGCGTTGCAAGTCCATATGGCGAGCGCGTACATTACCAAGGACCTCAGTGGCTTGTTCAGTACGATTGTTCATGAGCTAACAGAATTATCAGCCTGCAAAATATCCTGCGAAAGGCGGGGGAAGGGGAAAAGATGTGGAAAGTTGCGCCAAAGCACATACAGCATCCTGGAAAACACCTTCATCGCCCCAGTCGCGGCGAGCTTCTTCCTGAAGTCTTGCGTAGTCCCAATCCTGGTGAACAAGTCCCAATTGGCGTATCCTCTCCGTTTCCTCGCCGTTTCGGATGTCTTGTTCCACACTGACGTATTTTTCCACGACCTTTTGTAGAGGAGTCTTCAACGTCTGAAGATGGCGCTTCTTGACCTGGCGGGCCTTGTCGGAGGGACTGGTACGGGCGAGGTCGTCCTCAAGGCGCCTGACTCCATCTTGGATGGCCGTCCGCCGACGTTGCACTTCGGCGCGATAGTCACTGAACTGATCCTTGGCATCTCTGTCGGCCAGACTTCGCTTGTGACGCTTGTTGAGTTCATCGAGAGATTGGTTCAGGTCTTTCATGTCGCCGCGCAAGGCCTGGACCTGGTCCAAAAACTGCGATTCTGAAAGCCCATGGTACTGCTGCTGTGGTGGTTGGTGTTGCTGATAGCTGACCGGTTGCTGGTTGTTCAAGGGCTGCATTTCATAACGGCCAACTCCCCAGCGATTTGCCTTTGGAAACCATGGTGGTCAGCGAATTGGGTATACTCGCAACGGTAATTGACACCCTGCCGGCCAAACAGGCTCTGCAGGAAAGCAACTCGTTCGTGATGGGGACGAAGACGCCGAATGCGCCGAGAAAGTTGGCGGACGGACTTACCTCACTCTCTTGGTGCCCGGCGGCTTGCGGAGCTGATGGGGAGTAGGGATTTTGTTGGTACGACATTATGGGATGATTGTGCTTCTCGTTTCAACGCGGAAGTGCTACGTCGGAGTGAGAAACAGATGCGAATCGGCGCGCTCATCCGAAGATGACGGCGAGACCCTTTGGAACGATACTAGCGATAGAGCTATTTCTCCGAATTAGTGGGACAAATGGAGCGGGTGTAAACTTTGAAGTTTGGAAGAGGCTGGACTACAGTGGGCTGGCGACGGCGAAGGTGGGAGGAAGGCTGGGTTTTATCAACCACCACCGTCGCGCGTCTGACGAAGCAGGAGCGCCACTTCAGCCTGCTGGGGAAGGCAAGGAGCACTGCGAAGCGAAGCTGACGAGGCCGCGTTAGTGCGTGCCTCTCACAAGGCAGGCAGGAACAACCAGCGCGAGACTGACCATGTCGACATGTCTACGAAGCATTCAATATTCCGCAAAGTCTTCAATTGTCGCCGACGACTGTCCCAACGCTTGGGCCTCACTTTGTCATCTTTACTTGGCCTTTGCATTTGGATGGCCAGGTCGCAACTTTCAAGCGAGCAGCTTCATAGCGACGTAGAAAATGTTCCTCTGGGGCCGACAAGTCTGTGGGGCTTCGACGGCTCGGGCGGGAACTGACGTCTTGATCGATGTGGGTGGCTGAGCATGGTTGATTGAAACAATGGGACAGACAATAAATGGACCAAACATCAGGCAGAACTGCAGCTCTCATCACCATAAGGCCTCCGAAAAGCTGCCTGTCGTCAGTAGTCACGGATTGATCTATAACAAGATGCATTGTAAGTTATCAATAAATAAAGGCTAATTCATAGAGTGGAATTAGGGAATTCCATCTTGTTTCATACGCTTTGCCTACAGGGTCAGTCAAAAGCGCCGCCGTTGATCAAAAGACAGCTTCTTGATGTTTGCAAAAACGAGATGCCCATGTGTTTTTGATTTACATCGCCCACAATCCACCTGAAGCAATTTGGCGCAGTGGAAGCGCGGTTAGTATATGTCCTCCCCCCATTGATAGCGTACGATCAAGCTAACCCGCGTTGCGATAGCCGGGCTCATAACCCGGAGGTCGTACGATCGAAACGTACAATTGCTATTCTTTTTGCCCACTTTCCGTCTATAGCCGCCTTCTTCTTCTCTCTTTCTCTCTTCCTCCCTCTTCTTCTCTTCCCCTTCCTTTCTTTTTGTTAAAAAAGCCTCGCGATGGCTGTAAAGGCGCCAACTGGTCACACGATACACCGCGATGATACATCTTGCGGCTCGTAAAAATCACGTCCGGCCAGGGCCCAGCATCGTAAGAAACTTGGGTCTCGAAACAGAATATCATGAAGTGGTCACGTCTTTGCTCAAGAAGCCAACGGGAAGACATGAAGTCCTCCACGCCAATATATTTCTTGGATACTGCGGAAGACATGGTACAGGTACATTGGCGGCAAGCAGTCTCGCCTAGGCGAGGGCTTCTCGAAGAAAGACTGTGCCCGAGGACTTTGCCACGGCTTTCGCTGCTGCGCTGGATCCCAGTCTTGGTCATGGAGTGTATTTGATTGACCGCAAGATTACAGGCGACCCTGACTGCACTTGTGCATTGAATGTCTTCAATACTGGCGGATCGTTGGTGTCAAAGGTGTTCGTCTTTGAAGCCAATTTGCACTTGATAGATATGATTTCCGAGGTCATCGTCCTTGGACAAGTACGGCAAAACAATCCATGTACTATACCGGGTAACAGACGCGACGGATGTCATTCCAAAAACTACACCAACAGCAGCTGATGACTGGATCCCCACATCCGCCTCGAGCCATTTCACTGCTGCCCACGAATGCAGGCTGGGCATCCCTACCTCGACTGCGAGCGACATCCACCTGTTCATTTCCTTGAGACGTACAAGACTGATCCATCGGATGAAAGCAGTCAAAGCTCGAGGGTCCAATTCGCAACGTCGAAGCTTCGGGAAACAAGAAAATTGTCAGATCAACACTCCTTTAGCCTTGAAACCACTTAACCATCATCACTTTTAAACAGTCTAACTATAACAACCAAGTTGCGTGCATATAACACGGGTATTATCTACATCATCTTCTGGGCCGCTATCGCCGGACTAGCCTCATGACTCCATATATTGTCTCCTGTGTCGTGAACGATTTCCAGGCTGAAAGATGCCTCAGCTTTTCCGGTGAGATAGCTCTTCCGCGTACGCCTCATGTCGGAGAACAAATGACTTCGATGCAGAGGTCGACGGTGCCCAGACCACAGACCATTATCATGCCAGTACTGAACAGGACTTGCTTAGCATCCACTAGAACGCGCGGAATCTGGTCAACGTAGCATGGCACTAGTCGAGACACGTGTTGTGGCATCTGCTATGGCACAATGGGCCTCAACTTATCTTGCCGATTTGCTTCGTGCCACCATACATGGCTCAGTCACCGGCAACTGCCATAATGAGCCTGTCAGGCTTGCGCAGTACAGCATTGGAGAAATCGCCAACCCCGTTTCGAGTCCTCAAAGATAGTTCTTCTTCTTTGCCGTTCTCGTGTACTGCGACAAGTGCCACTCAACGTCGCCATCCTTGTTCTCCAGCGTGCCTCCGCGAATCTCAAAGGGGCGCATCGTCATTCGAGGACCAACTTCAGCGAGCTCAACGCTGTCGTAGCCAGTTCTAACAAAGACATGATGACGGACCTCAATACTGTCTTCAATGTTCTTGAATGTCACAACACGGTTGCCCATCTTGTTTTTGCCCGTGATTGCCTCCCTGGGGGGGAAGAGGTGCTTCAGGACCTTGACAATGCGTTTACCCAAGGGAGACGTAAATCCGTCAAAGATGAGATGCGGGTATGATTCGCTTACTGTGCCTCGTACGCTACCAGGAATATCATGCCGCAGTACCACATTGTGCAACGAGAACGACGCTGTAGGTCCATGAGGAAAATGTGAAAGCGTAATGGCGGTTGGTGTGCCACGGTGTTCGTGGAGAAGAAGAATATCTGACAAACCCGCGGATTGGGCAGATTTGACAAGATCAGGAAGAATGAGGTTTCCGCGATTCAATCGAACAGAGGTAGGAAGCAGCAATCTTATTTCCTTTGCGAACGCCGAGAGTCTAGCGGAAGGGTCTCGTGATGTTGTAACAAGGACACGAGGGTCAACGATCCCCGAGAGTTGGGCGTATTCGTCGTCCAAGTCTAGTAGTTCATTCGTGCTCAAGTGAGGGGTTGATTCGTCGAATTGGTAATCTTTTCGGAGGCTTTTGTCGTTGACAATGGAGGGGTCGAGGGGCTTTCCAGATGCCAACGATGCCCTTAACTTGGCTCGCTTTTCACTGACTTCCGCATCTCGAAGGAGGAGAGCCCTCCTGTAGAGATAGTCTCTCCGCTGTCGTGCTTGTTTACGCTTGCGGGAAATACGCCGTCAGTACGGAATGAAAAAGAACAAGTACTGCAACAGTGCTTACAATCATTTCATTTCCTTCTTTTCATTCATGTCTTTTGTCGTACTCGAGAGTATTGCGAAGTCGATACTCAACTGGAGGTGCGTAACAGCTTTTCTTGCGCCTTATCGATAACGAAGCCCGCTTATCACGTGGGCGCATATTGTCCCACTAAAGGTCGCCGCCGCATCAGGGTCAGGCGTCTTTCACTAGAGACGATGAATCAGGAATTGGCCCGGAAAGCAAAACTTTACATCCAACCGCCAACCGCGTTCTCGCAAAATTTTTCTTCTCAGCTGATTTCTATCTGGTACGGTCTGTTGCCCAGCTATCGAACCGACACGTTCGTCTTCGAGAATAACGTCTGCCGCGATGATGTGAGCACTAAACCACGATTGCAATTACGAAACTTTCAATCCGTCCTGCCCCAAGCGCTTCGCTCTTGCTGCGCCGGGCAGATCATTTTATTTGAACAAAGTTCACGCTTGTGTGTTAGTACTTCAACTTTCGATCCACCCACAGCAGAATTATTTCATTCTATTCGTTTTGCAGCCCACCTGGCAGTATTTTTTCCAACTTTGGCCTGGTTTTCTCGCTGACAGAATCAAGAATTTTTTCAACACGAAGGTAAAAGGGGAGAAAAAGAAACCCTCACCGGCGACCTTCCAAACGACACCTCGATCAGAACCAACATGGAAGGCGCCTTTACTCATGTAGGCAATCATCTTGTATCCGACTCAGCCGCTGCCATCAAGGCCGGTGCGGATGACTTATCTGCGCTCGATCCCGACGAGAGCTTGCTTTATGGCAAGTACGGGAGCAATCGAAGTGGCCGGCGTCGCGCCGATGACGATGATAATCAGACCGAGGCTTTCGAGGAAGATGAAAACGACAGCCTCAACAGCGTACCTGTGGAGGGTATGAGTGATCTCAAACTCAAGAATGTCGACGAGAACAAGGAGCTTCCTCCGCACGCTTGCGCGTAAGCAAAATTTCCCCACGAAGCCAAATACGAGTGATGTTTTCTTGAGCTAATTCATTGAATCTAGTTATTGTGGTATTCACTCGCCTGCCTGCGTTGTCAAATGTCTGACTTGCAACAAGTGGTTTTGCAGCGCGAAGGGCAATGGAACGTCCACTCACATTGTGAATCATCTAGTCCGAGCGCGACACAAGGAGGTTCAGCTTCATCCCGAGTCGCAACTAGGGGATACGGTTCTGGAGTGTTACAACTGTGGTGTAAAGAATGCTTTTGTGCTAGGATTCATTCCCGCGAAATCCGACACAGTAGTTGTTTTGCTGTGCCGTCAGCCATGCGCATCTAGCACTTCGACTAAGGATATGAACTGGGATATTTCGCGATGGGAACCTCTCATCGAGGAACGGGCATTTCTTACTTGGCTCGTCAGTCCGCCATCTGATGTTGAACAGCTTCGTGCTCGCCATCTCTCGCCCAACACAATCGCCAAACTGGAGGAGCTGTGGAAAGTCCAACCCGCCGCAACGCTCGAAAGCTTGTCATTTGCATCCAATATTGACGATGACCCGGACCCAGTCCTGCTGAGATATGACGATCCGTATCACTACCAGAACATCTTTGGGCCTCTGGTCAAGATGGAGTCTGACTATGACAAGAAACTGAAGGAGGCGCAATCTGAAGATGGCCTTATTGTTCGATGGGACTATGGTCTCAACAACAAGCACCTTGTCAACTTCAACTTACACAAGATTGAATCTGGAGACGTCAAACTCGCGGTTGGCGATGAAATGAGACTTCGATATAATGGCGATCTTCGTGAGCCATGGGAGGGTGTCGGATACGTCATCAAGATCCCAAACAGCCAATCCGACGAAGTTAGCTTGGAATTGCGCAAGACTGGAAACGACAAGCTTGTGCCTACCGATCTATCTCATAATTTTTCTGCGGACTATGTTTGGAAGGCAACTTCGTACGATCGTATGCAGTTGGCCATGAAGACGTTTGCCGTCGATGACATGAGTGTCTCTGGTTACATCTTTCACACCCTCCTGGGCCACGAGGTTCAGCTACAGCCAGTGCACTCAAAGCTACCTAAAAAGTGGTCTGTGCCTGGGCTGCCTGAACTCAACCAAAGCCAGGTCGACGCTATCAAGTCTGTCCTGCAAAAGCCGTTGAGTCTTATTCAAGGCCCCCCCGGAACTGGGAAGACGGTGACATCTGCAACCATCATTTACCATCTTGCCAAGATGACCTACAATCAAGTACTCGTCTGTGCACCATCAAACGTTGCCGTTGACCAGCTTTGCGAGCGAATTCACGACACCGGTCTGAAGGTCGTCCGACTCACAGCGAAGTCTAGAGAGGATGTCCAGTCCTCTGTCAGCTTCCTAGCCTTGCATGAGCAGGTCAGGTTGTTGGAACATAATAGCGAAATCGTCAAGCTGTCACAGCTCAAGAATGATGTCGGAGAACTTTCAAGCCAAGACGAGAAAAAGTTCAAGCAGCTCACTAAAGCGGCTGAGCGGGAAATCCTCAACAACGCAGACGTTGTTTGCTGCACTTGCGTTGGTGCTGGCGACCCTCGTTTGTCCAAGATGAAGTTCCGAAATGTGCTCATCGACGAGTCTACACAGTCTGCGGAGCCCGAGTGTATGATTCCACTGGTGCTTGGCTGCAAGCAAGTTGTTCTTGTCGGAGACCACAAGCAGCTTGGGCCCGTAATTATGAATAAGAAGGCTGCAAAGGCTGGCCTTAACCAGTCTCTGTTTGAAAGGCTGATCAAACTCCAACTTGCCCCTATTCGACTGACTACACAGTACCGAATGCACCCATGTCTTTCAGAGTTTCCCTCAAACATGTTCTACGACGGTAGCTTGCAAAACGGCATCACTCACGAGCAGCGTTTACGAAAGGATGTGGAATTCCCTTGGCCGATGGCAGAGACTCCCATGATGTTCTGGTCGAATCTCGGTAACGAGGAAATTTCTACCTCGGGAACCTCGTACCTCAACCGCACCGAAGCCTCCAATGTGGAGAAGACGGTGACTCGATTTTTCAAAGCCGACGTTGCGCCGTCGCAGATTGGTGTTATCACTCCGTATGAGGGCCAGAGGAGTTACATTGTCACTACGATGCAGAACTCGGGTTCATACAAGAAGGAGCAGTACAAGGAGGTAGAAGTCGCGTCTGTCGACGCATTCCAAGGTCGCGAGAAGGATTTCATTATCCTCTCGTGTGTCCGTTCCAACGAGAATCAGGGCATTGGTTTCCTGTCCGACCCTCGTCGTTTGAACGTTGCACTCACACGGGCCAAGTACGGTCTGGTGATCCTGGGCAACCCCAAGGTTCTTTCAAAACACGAGCTTTGGCATAATCTGCTCGTCCACTTTAAAGATCGCAAGTGCTTCGTGGAAGGCCCTCTCACGAACCTTCAGGCCTGTCTGTTGCAATTTAGCCGACCCAAGGTCAGTTTCCGTCAGAAGAACAACTACCAGTCTCAGTACGGTGCCAGCAGATACACCAATGGACGCCTCAACAACAGCGGCACTCCAGGTCGTGACTTTGACTCTGGATCTATGATGTCGTACATTCCGGACGATGTTTCCTCAGTCCAAGGCTCCGCTTTCGGAGGTGCTGCGCTCAACTCTGCATTCCCCCCCATGTTCTCCAGCTTCACACCGGAACAATGGCCCGGGCTTCCAGGAGTACATGGTCGAGGCAACAAAGGGCGCGGCCGCGCAACAGAGAGTGTTGCGGGCGAGAGCGTCGCCAACTCTGAACTTACGGACACGACGGCCAGCGTTATTGGAGGCAAGGGGATCAGCCAAGGCGGTGTCAGCCTTGGATCTGGATTACACGATGCAGTTACGGGAATGCGGCCGGTCTCATACACGCAAAGTGACAGACTTAAGCAATATGTTGAGAGTAATGGGCGAATCGCACCGGGCAGCGGCTTTGGCCGACGATACGACGACGACGAGAAGAGCGTCAGCACTGCCTTTCATAGTCAGATTGGCGGGGGCTACGACTGAGTGACAGCTGGAGCTGCAGAGAAGCTGATTGGAACTAGCGGCGAGAATCACCTGACAACCTAAAGCGCCCGAATTTTGAGGACTTGCTCCTGCAAGACTCGGCAGTCTTGGGGGCTGAGTCGTCTCCAAGCGGGAGCGGTCTTGTGGACAAGTGGCTTTGATTGGAATGACGATCAAAGCTACGGCACCTTGCCACGGACAAAGGTCAAGGACTTGCGACGTTGTCGAGGCCGAGGAGATTGCGGCGGAGCGAGTCCAAGACTCCTCAGATGGTATTCAGACGTTCCAGGCGGGGGCACTGACAGCGAGGACAAAGCCCGCCTTGGTATCGATGGTGCATTTTTTGGGTCGCAGAAGGGGTCAGCGGCAGACCTAGCCAGAGAGGCTTTGGTGAAGCGAACGAGTAACAGTCAAGCCGGCGTGTTTGAGGCAGTCTGTTTCCCCCCCCTTTTTTTTAGGCAGTGCCCGGATGGACTCGCCACTAAAACGAGGGCTTGACGACAGCGTTGTGCGGAGAGGACCATCAAACAATGCGCAGACAAAGATTCGTAGGATGTTCAGGCAGAAGAGCATTAGCTAGAATTGGAGTTGTGTTACGGTCTTTTGAAGCTGACGGAATTTGATTTACGACCAACTCTTATACACTCACTCGGGTATACAGAAAATGGAGAAGGAAGAAGGAAAAAAAATCAACAACTAGATAGATGATACAAGAGCTACTCGTTAACGTGTTTTGAGCTGACGAAGTCGGGGTGGCCGGGTCGGCCCGAAGGTGCCGCGTGCCTCAACCACTCCGTACCACTACGCTACCAAGTTGGGTGTACGTAACTACTATTTTTGTGGCGAAGCATGTGGCCGAGCACCGACCGAGTGAAACAAAGCTCGGATGACGGGGTCGGAAGGGAAGACGGGCATGTTGAAATGCACAATGGACTCGTGGTCACTGGCGACAGCCCACGGTCAGACTCTGTTGGGCCAGGGGGCCGGAGGAGATGCGTTTGGTTTGCCAACAGAGCACGGCGTCGAGCACGCAGGGCAGGTGCGACGGACAGGCACGTGCCCTGTGCCTCTGTACTCCGTACTCCGAAGTACGCACGGAGCAGCAGGCTCCAAACAAAGCACGTGGACGTCAGGTCGGCCAATGACGAATAACGAACAAGGCCACCTCGTCCCTGCGCCCGAAACATCTGCCGACCACCAACCAAGCTTGGGCCAGCCAACGCCCTGCTCCGCACCCCGTACTAGGGAAGTAACTTGCGGTACTCTCGGCAACGACCGACGAGTATAGACTCCAGAAGTACTCCGTACTTAATGGAGCGAGCCATGGAACCATGATGACTGCACCGTCAAACCTTGCTTTTGCTGGGCGCCGCACACGATACATGCTGTACCTTTCATATCGACTTACTCCGTACCTAGGTAACGTTACCTAGGTAGGTAGTTGCGCGCAACCCGTCCTCGTACAACCTCGCCTCGACTCGTCGGCCGCAGGAACCACTGCAGCGAATCCTCGACCAAGACCTCACTCGTATCAAACTCCCACGTCTGTCCTTGTCGGCCGGACCAGACACCCGGAACCCGACCAGAGTCGCGAGTCCCAGGACGATGCTCCCGCCATGCTGAGCCTCCAAGGACCGCCGGCCAGGCGCCACCTCGCCCTCGCCGCCTTCTTCCTGCTGGCCTTGGTCCTCTGGCGAGGCTTCACCTCCTCGCGCCCGGCCTTTGAGCATTCCGGCGGCAAGGGCATTCACTACATTCCCAGCGCCATCGACTGGAGTCGGGCCAAGATCTACTTCCCGCCCAAAGACACCGTCCCGCTGCCGTCGGGAGCCCCCAAGACCTTGCCCAGAGTGCAGGCCCGAACAGCTTCCGGGGCTGGGGACCACGTTTCGAAATCGCGAAGGGCAGCCGTGAGAAGGGCCTTTGTCAAGAGTTGGAACGCGTACAAACAGTACGCATGGGGCAGGGATGAGCTCATGCCGCTCTCGGGAAGGGGCAAGACTACTTTCTCGGGTTGGTCGGCTCAGCTGGTGGATGCCCTCGATTCGCTGTGGATCATGGGCTTGAGGGACGACTTCCGTCTTGCCGTGGCAGAGGTTGCCAGGATCGACTGGTCCAAGACGGACGGCAGCGACATCAACGTCTTTGAGGTGACGATTCGATACCTGGGCGGGTTGCTGTCCGCATACGACCTCTCGGGCGACGGGGTACTCTTGAACAAGGCAGTCGAGCTCGGCGATGCGCTGTACATGGCGTTTGACACGCCCAACCGTCTGCCGACCCATTGGCTCAGCTACACCAAGGCAGACCGCGGGGAGACGCGCGGCGACGTCAGCATTTCCGGCGCCGCCGGCGGAACGCTCTGCCTCGAGTTCACCCGTCTCAGCCAAATCACCGGCGACGACAAGTACTACGACGCCACGGAGCGGGTCAAGCGCTTCTTTTTCGAAAACCAGAACCGCACCAAGGTCCCCGGTCTGTGGCCATCGGATCTGAATTTCCGCAGGGGCACCGTCGCGGATGGGTTCTTCACCTTTGGGGCCGGTGCCGATTCACAGTACGAGTACCTCCCCAAGATGCACGCCCTGCTCGGCGGGCTCGATGCCGAATACGTGGAGATGACGGTGCTGTCGTTGGACACGGGCCGAGACAAGCTACTCTTCAAGCCAATGACCCCCAAGGACGAGGACATCCTCATGTCGGGCAACTTGGATGCCTCTGCGGGCAAGCGAGAAAGCACGGCGCAGATGCAACATCTGACGTGTTTCCTGGGCGGCACGTACGCCCTCGCGGGAAAGCTCGTGGGACGCAACGACTACGTCGACCTCGGCGCACGCCTCACGGCCGGTTGCGTCTGGGCATACGACTCGTTCCCCACCAACGTCATGCCCGAAGTGACGGAGCTCGTCAAGTGCGAGAAGCTGGACCAGCCGTGTCCGTACCGGGAAGACGAGTTCCCGGCCGGCCGTGACGGGGACTTGCCGGGGGGGTTTCTGCGGATCAACGACGCGAGATACATGTTGAGGCCGGAAGCCATCGAAAGCGTCTTCTACATGTGGCGCGTCACGGGAGATGGCATCTGGCGCGACGCAGCGTGGCGAATGTGGGAGGGCATAGTGAAGGAGACGGAGACGGAGTTGGCGTTTGCCTCCATCCAGGACGCGAGCACGCACGGGAGTGCCAAGATTGATTCTATGGAGGTGAGTTTTTTCTTTTTTTCTTCTTTTTTTTTCTCTTTTTTTGGAACCCCGTGACGCGCTGACTCGCTCTCGCACTCGCACTCGCTGTCCTCTCCCGGCAGACATTCTGGCTTGCGGAGACGACCAAGTACTTTTATCTCACGTTTGAAGACGAAGGCGTCGTCAATCTCGACGAGTGGGTGTTTAACACGGAAGCACACCCCCTGAAGCGGCCGGTCGGGTCGTAGGCCATTCATGGTGAAGAGCGTTTGGCCGGGGATGGCACTGCATTTTTTTTTTTTTTTTTCATCTTTTGTTTATAGAGGGTAGTTGAATAGATTTGACACCAATGGCTAGACGCACGATGGCCGTTCGGTTGCGGACGCGGACGGCGAGATGGACTTTCCACGTGCGCTTTTTCTCAAATTTCACCGTCAATGCATCCGACACGCTGACACGCTGACACGGCAGTCTCGGTCTCCGGCCGCGCCCCCCCCTCCTCTCTCTCCTCTTCCTCGCCTCCTCACGGCAAACATGGACACGGCCATCACTCCCCATCGACACCGACGCCAGCGCACACGCACACCCAGACACTGCACGAAAATGCCGACAAGCCGCGCGGCATGCCCCTCCGTCTCGCTGCAGGTGCACGCCGCGCCCTCGCCCTCGCCGTCGGCGGCGCCCCTCCTCGCCCCGTGAGCCGCGCGACGGTGCACGCGTCCGCCGCGCGGCCCTCGGACCTCGCCCGCCAGAACCACTACGAGCGCCTGCGCGTCCGGCACGACGCCTCGCCCGGCGAGATCAAGACCTCCTTCTACGCGCTCTCCAAGTCGCACCACCCGGACGTGAGCCGCTCCCCCGCCGCGGCCCACGACTTCTCGCTCCTCGCCGAGGCCTACGCCGTGCTCGCCGAGGCCTCGCGCCGCGCCCAGTACGACCGCGACGTCCTGCGCCTGCGCCCGCACCCGCACCCGCACCCGCCCTCCTCCTTCTCGGCCGGCGGCCTCTCCAGGCGCAGGGCCTCCTTCCGCGGCCCCCCCGCGAGCTTCTACAGGAGCGCCGGCTGGGGCGCGCACTCGCACCCGGAGAGGAGGCGCCAGCCCTCCCACGACGAGCCCGCCGCCCGGGACCGGGACCCCTGGACGCACTCTCACTCCCGGCAGGCCGCCGACGACGTGCCGCACTTCGACAAGAGGGCGCACGCCCGCACGCACCGGCGCCAGGACGAGAGGCGCTGGGAGCGCCGCCGCGCCTTGGGCGACGACGACGTCGAGTTCGAGCCGCAGACCAGCCTGGCCGGCCACTTCCTCATCGTCGTGGGCATACTGGCCGCCACCATGCTCGCGCCCCTCGTCTACTTGCAGTTTGTGCGCTTGGGCAGGAGGAAGAAACAGGCCGTCTGAGGTGCGGCCCGAGGGCACGTGCTTCCAGCTCGGGAAGCCTTTTGACGTGCGCGTCGCGCTTGCTGCTGCTTCCGTCCGTGCAAACGTGTGCCGTTTCGTGGGAATTCTGGGTCCCGACTTTGTAACACTATCTACGTGGACAGGCTGTAGGCCCCGGGCGACACGTCGTCGTCGTCGTCGTGTTGCGGTAAACTAGACTCCTCATCACTTTCGAGCAAACATGACTGTGACATGATCTCTTCGTTATTTAAATTTTCGTCACACTCCCACCTACATCTATCTACAGAAACCTCTGACCACCCCGATGCAACCATTTCTAGTACGATACAAAAGCATGCGTTCCGCAGCCTCAATGTCGGGACAAGTTATCCAGCAGCACGTGTCGGGAGCTGCTGGATGAGTTTCTTATTTTTGTTTCCGTCACAACGGGCTTTTAACCCTCAAAAGTGAAGCTGGCGCCGAGCTGTTTGCATTGTTAGCACCACCGTCAAGTCCATGACCAAGATGCAGACTAAGCAAGCCCTACCTTGTGGGTGGCCTGGTCGAGCTTCTGGGTATCGAAAGAACCACCGAGACCCAGAGTAACACCCTCGCGGAGGAGGACGTTGTAGGCAAGGGCGGCAATGCCGCGGTCATTGATCTTGACCTGCACGGATTTGTCAGCCGTTGCTTTACCACGACTTCAATGTGTGGCGAATCGAACCTTGGCAAAAGAGACGGGGTCAATGCGGTACTTGCTGGCGACCTCGAGGCCGACAGCGTTGCCAGTCTTGGAGTTCCAGGTAGCCTTAGCACCAGCCTCAACCTGGCTGTTGACCTTGTGGTAGTAAGAGGCGGCAAACACGCTCAGGTTGTCGGCGGCAGTGATGGCAGCGATGTACTGGGGGGCAGCGTATCCAACAGCGGCGCTGTACGTGGTGACGGCAGCCCTGTTGACGTCGTAGCCGGCAGAGGCACCGGCGAGGAAACCCTCGTGGCCAACAACGGCGTCCACGTTGGCAACGGGGCCCTTGAGCAGGTCGAAGAAGGCGCGGCCGTGAAAACCGGGCTGCTTGAAATAGAGGTTGAACCTGGCGCCCTTGCCGGCGGTGGCGGGCAGGAAGTTGAAGAGACCCTCAAGTTTGAGGCCCTTGGCGAGGGTGTCGTTGACCTCGAGCTTGGTGTCGAGAGCGTTGGCCGTGTTCCAGGTTTGAGTCAGGGTGAGGCCTGTACGCGTACACCACGTTAGCGGCTGAGCGTAGCCAGTCCATATGCGGGCGGCCAACTCGAGCGGCCAGTCAGCGCCGGACCCGAGAGAGCACGAAGGGGGCAGCCTCGTCGTCCACCGGCGAGACGGCGCGACCTGGGGCGGGGGGCGTTTTACCAGAAGGCTTGTCCGTGTATTTTCCCTCAATCTGTGGCAATATCAGCATTGGTCACGACGCAGGAGCTGACACGAGCTTCCAAACGAGAAGGCAGCTGTTCGAAACTAGAATTGAGCGGGAAGCAATACTCACAGCCGCAGAGGTGACCTTCTCGTGGCTGGACTTGCCCGTCACCTTGAAAGCGACGCCATTGGGGGCAGTGTCCTTGAACTCGAAGGTGGTAGCCGACAGGTGATAGAAGTCCTTGTTGAGGAGCTACAAGGGAACAAGAGGCAAACGTCAGCAAACTTTCTCCTCTCTGCGCAGATTACGCCGGCCGGTACTAGTCGGAAGTCGGCGAGCTCAGAGCAAACGACCATGGCAGGGAACTGGGGAGAAAAACGCATACGTCGTTGGCCGGCTTGGCAATGTCGGAAAAGGCGGGGACAAACATGTTGACGGAAGATGGAGGAGGGCGAGAAAACATCAGAAAGAATCGGGTCAGGACTGGGACGCGGGAGACGGGAGAGTGATGGAAGAGAGCGATGAGGGTTGTGAGGGTGACGCGAGATGCAACAGGCAAGAAAGAAGACGAAGGGAACTTTTCTGGACCCAGGGAAAATGTCGGGTCAAGTGCGACGGGAGCTGATTGGCTGGCTGCTGGAGATCCGCCCGGCAAGGCCAACCGTTGGGGGTGGGCGCGCCAGCACGGAGCAGGGAAACGGCGATGCAAGGAACAAGTCGCGACTCGCCACCACGCAGGACTCATCAGAACATCAGACATCTGCCTACGGACCAGAGGGCGGCGGAACGAGGCAAGCAGCCACAGTCATCATTCGACCGTCTCTCCGCATGCATCTCCAGTGTCCGCCGCCGTCGACACGAAGCGTCCTTACAGGCCGGGCCAAGTGCAATCACCCTTTGATCATGCACACGCGCCATGGCCGCCACGACGAATTACCTGTTTATGCGCTCCCGCCAACACCGCCAAGGGGCTTTCTTCGTGAGACGAGCCGCGCCAAATGCTGAGACCTGTCGACAGGTCTATCGCGACTCTGGCGCCAAGCAGGGAATGGCCCACGTGGACGGCACCGCGCCCAACTCTGGCGCTGTCACTTGTCGCATCGTCCGGCGTGGCTGACCTTGAGACCAGACCTCGCTCTTTTTCCACGTCGAGAGTGCCAGCCTCCAGGACTTGGATTGCTGCCGTATAACATGCGTATATATGTATGTGTGTGCGTGTGTGCGTGTGTGCGTGCGTGTGTGCGTATTTATTGCTTCCAATCTGGAGCTACCACGAGCTCATTCATCTGCGATCCTTGGCTTTCAATCTAGTGCTCATGGCCCCGCTTCCTTCATCGTGCAAATTTAGGGTACTATTGCGTACGTATTGGTATCGATATATTCCATATATTCCAAGCATAGTAGACGCTCCGTCTCACGCGGAGCTGCGGCCTGCTTCGTGGTCAAGACCGTTATCGACACCGCCCATCCATGTATGGCACGGTGCATCCAATTTTTTTTTTTTTTGGTTGTTGTTATTCGTTTTCCACTGTTAGTCCTCACAGTCATCATAAAGAGCTCATGTCGCAACAAAGTTTCAAGTCTATCTATGCATACTCTAGCCAGCCTACCATACCCAAATATTTCCCCAATGACCAAGATACTAGTCCGATGCTCAAATATCGACCCGTCACGCAAATTTCTGAATCTTCGTAGCTCAAATGTGTCCCTGCTGCCGGGTAGACACTTATGGGATATCCCCATTTATACAGCGTTCTCATACTTGTCCTTGTGGGTGGAAATAGCTCTAAAGGCACATTAGTCACAAAGACCTTGTCAATCAGTCCAAAGTATACACACCTTCCACTTGGATCGGTCTGCTTGGACCAAGTTGGCGTCCAGCGCAGAACGGTCGACGCACACGAAGGAGGGAAGTGTTCGTCAAACATCAGGCGATACCAGTAACTTCACCTTGTGTTAGCACGTTGCCCGTTTTAGTAACATCACCCCGACTTACGCCTCTTTGGTGTCGGGGACATCAGTGCCCCATTCCGTCTTGGGGTTGTTCATCATCTCGTCTGTAACGTGAAGCTCAGCGTTGTCCTTGAGGGCGTCGATCCAACCATAGCCGACACCGTCAGAGAACTGCTCCTTCTGGCGCCAGAGAATGTGTTCGGGTAGGTAGGGAGCAGTGTCGGGCTCGTCTGAGGTGTCAAAGGCCTTTCGAAGAATGTACTTCTCCATGCGGTCCTTGGTGATCATCTTGTCCCGAGGATCAATTTTCATCGCAGTCTCCAGGAACTGGAAGGAAGTCGTCAGTCCGCTATCTTTCTTCGCAAATCGAGACTCAGCTTGCCGCACATACCTCCTTGTCAAGGAAGGGAACTCGGGCCTCCAGACCCCAAGCGGAAGTAGACTTATTGGCGCGCAGGCAATCAGCGTAGTGCAGATTCTTAACACGACGCACAGTCTCCTCGTGGAAAGCCTTCTTATCAGGGGCAGCGTGGAAGTACAAGTATCCGCCAAAAATCTCGTCACTGCCCTCACCGCTCAGGACCATCTTGACGCCCATAGCCTTGATCTTACGTGAAAGCAGATACATGGGAGTAGAGGCTCGAATGGTGGTAACATCATAGGTCTCAAGATGGTAAATAACATCAGAAAGAGCGTTGAGACCGTCCTCAATGGTAAAAGTCATGACGTGGTGCTTGGTGCCGAGGTATTTGGCGACTTCGAGGGCAGCCTTGTTATCTGGCGATCCGGGAAGACCAATAGAGAAGGAGTTGAGCTGGGGAAGGTAGGTGACAGTAGAGAGGTTGTCATCGTCGTCGATACCTACAAGGCCCTCGCCCAAATCAGGGTTTCCTGTAGGCTCCGTCGCAGCGTTGGTCGCCAGTGCCCTTTGCTTGAGACGAAGAGTCTCGCGCTGGGCAATAGCAGCAACCAGACTAGAGTCCAGGCCACCGGAGAGCAACACACCGTAGGGAACCTCGGCCATAAGTCTCTTTCTCACAGCCTTCTCCAGGGCGTGGCGCAACTCCCTCAGGTCGACAGGTGTTGAAGGGACATTGGTGGGATCCCACCACGTGGGCTGGAAGTACCGCGTTGTCTGGCCAGTTTTCGAGTCGAAGACGTGGCCAGGGGGGAACGCAACAATCTTGTCGCAGACGGTGTGAAGGCACTTCAGCTCGGAAGCAAAATATACGGTCCCTGGCTCCTTCCACGTCCAACCTTGGTACAAAGTTGTGATACCAATGGGATCACGGGCAGCAATGGTTCGATCTTGCCCCTTGTCGTATAGCACAAAGGAGAACATTCCATCGAGGTGGCTGGGGGCATCAAGCCCGTACTCCATATACTGTCAAGCAGTACCGTCAGTTGCCATTTGTTTTTCTTCCCTCAAATATGGTGACCTAGAATAAGGGCCAACGCACCAGAGGGATAATGACTTCGCAATCGGATGTAGTCTTGAAGGGGTAGACATGCTTCAAGTGCTTTCGGATTAGGCGATGGTTGTAGATTTCACCGTTGACAGCAAGTACAAGCGATTCGTCCTCGTTGGTCAGAGGCTGAGCGCCGGACTCTGAGATAGTCGTCAGCCCACCCACACATTGAACCCGTGGCAATCAAAGCACAGTACCTACCAATACCAACGATGCTCAGACGCTCATGGCATAAAACTGCGCAGCCACGGATTAGACGTGAATCTCAGCCAGTGTAGACATGCCCTTCAACCTACTCGTGTTGTTGGAGATGATATTTCCGCCTATATTTGTCCAGCATTAACAATTACTCGAGTAGTCCAAGTCCTCACGGACTCGGAGGATTCCTTGTGGCTCGAGACTCACTCCAATCGGGGCCTCGGTGGCGGATTCTGCAGCGATCGGATCAGCAGGCGCTGTCAGGAACATGGACAAACCGAAACTTACTGCTTGGCAAGGCGCAGAGCAGTGGGCTTGAACTTCTGAATGCTTGGATGGCTGGCGATTACGCTCATCAGCAACCTTCTTGACTGCTTGGCCATGTGATTTTTTGGTGACTCGGCTGCGCACATCGGCCCATCGGACTGCCCCTCCAAGGAAGTCGAAAAAGCAACCAACTGCAATCGGGAGGAAGGAGCGACTGCGGTACGTACCAATGGCAGGCGAAAATTCCACACATGATGACTGCCGAGCTTCAATGGCGAAGCTACGAACAAAGATGTTGGAAAAAATGTAGTACGGATCGAGGATGTGGAAAGAAGCCAAAGGATGGAGGGGAGGAAGAAAAGCCCATTTGGTAGGGAAACGTAAAGCTACCCACGACTCCATACTACAGCCCAAGTTAACCGGTGCTCGTCAAGCATGAGTCAAGACCAAGAGCGGCATCCAAGACTGGACCCGCACCAAAAGCCAGCAAGACGGATGACTGAAAAGTGCTGGAACGTAGATACAGCCCATTTACATCCAAACTATCAATACGACGACCCGTACTTCAATCATCAATGTCTTTATGAATTACTCTACCTTTTTCTGCACAGCTTACCAAGTACACAGGCCAGTTGCTCAGAAGTTGGAACCGGCCGACTTCGGCGGAACGGTCAATGCGCGCGACATGATTGGTGCGCGGCCAACAATGCATTCCAAAACTTGGAGAGACCATCTCTCGAGTCTATGCAAATTTTCCATTGCAACTTCTTCTTACCAGTACGTCTACTGCTGGCCAGAGTAAAGGGAAACCCTTATATGGGAAGAAACTCCTCGCGGCCCCTCCATCCTGCTATACGAATCATAGAATAAAAACAAGCAAGCAAGCAAGCAAGCCCTTGCGCTGCACAATATTTAGGGGCTTGTGTGGTGCATGAGTGCGACAAACAACAGAAACATCACGTGGTATCAGTATGGCAATTGACCGCATAATAAGGGACTTAATATGATTCGTATCTAAAGGCTGTAGAACGAGCAAGCTCTCTGTGGACATTCCTTTCCGTCTCGCGCCTCTACAGTCTAACTACCACCAGGCGCTAGACTTGAAACGAACTGTATGAAACCTAAACCTAATACGCCTGTCGCAAATTCGTTAAAATAGATGGCGGCGTCCTTTGTGTCGGGGATATCAGCCTTCACAATGTCAACCGTGTGTAGTCTGATGGAACAATCCTCCCCAAACGCCTGAGCCAAATGCTTTGTCTGAGATGTAACAAAGGTTCATCACTTCCGTACCATGATCAAAGACCCCTCAAGGCGCTGGGTTTTCGCGCACAACACGGCGGACTCGCTTTTCGTATTCCACTCTATCTCTCTTGAATAAATTGTACGCATCGGCCTGGGCAGGCGACTCAGGGTTCGGGTCGTTTAGGAGATCCTGGATACCCAACAAGATCTGCTTCACGGTAATCGCCGGTTTCCATGCCTCTTCTTCGTTGAGGATGGAAAGACAAACGGTGCCTGAAGGGTAGACGTTTGGATGAAACAGTGGGGGTACAAATTTGCCTATTCAGGAGTGTTAGCTAAATCGGCCACCCGGTTCCTCTTCCACATCTTACATTTCGGTGGTTTGGTGGGATATTCTATGTATGGACAGTGTTAGCAGAAACTGCCCGACAAATGGTCAGCCGTGTCACTCACCCTCTGGGAACGCAATAGTCAGCTTGAACAGGCCACCTTCCCAGATGGTCTTTTCCTTTCCAGGAACACCGCATTCCCAGTTCTTCAAGTCTAAAACTCCCTCCTTTGTACGCGCGGGCTTGGCGTAAAAACCAAAGGGGTGGTCACGCCGCCACTGCTTCCTGCGTTTCTCGTCAGCGCCCGTCCAGCTTCTGGCACACGCATAACTCCGTCTACCTACCGCTCTTCCTGTAATCGATTCTGACATAAAGCCATCTCGAAATCGCTCGAGAGGAACAATGTGTAGACACGTCGTTGGTCGAAGATGTCAGGTTACGGGCCGTCGAAACCGTGTTTGCGAGGCTATCAAGTGAGGGGTCTGCGCTGCGCAAAAGGAAGGGGGATGTAGAATCGCACAGCCACACGGTCAGTGTTGGTATCCTTGTCGTCTAAGGGTCTTCAGGGTGTACGACTGGAGGATGAGCTTCGTTGAGATGAGAAACCAACGTCAGCCTTTTGCGACAAGTCGGGGTTGCAAACACTAGCGGAGGTGAATGGTTATGAATGGCCGAGTGGAGACGTTTTGGAGCTGGAAGGGCGGCTGATTAGTGCCCGAGAACAAATTGAGAAGGCGAAGTACAGAGCCTGCCAGGCGGTCGGTCGCTCTTTCCCTGCCTGCATGTCCCTTCACGCCGCCACCTTCCATGGCACGCGCGCAGTCTCCACCACCAAGCTTCCCTCGGCTCGGCAGCAAACCTAACTAATATTGCGCGGCTTTGCTGAACCGGAGGGATGGAGGGGCATGACAACCCAGCATCGTACCGGCAGACGCAAGCCTCCGTCTCATCCTCATACAACATACTATCCGATTACAGTATGATTACGGTGTCATACTTGAATCCCGACACTATTCAATCTCCCTGAACTTATCGAGCAGGTCGACGTCGCTTTGCGGCAGATCGGTGCGATTCCACCTCGTCAAGAAGCCATTTGCATGTGGAGATCTGATATTGGACTCTGAAAGCGCAGACGTCGACGCTATGGACGCAAAGCCTGCCGCTCCAGAGGCAAGCAAGAAGGACGATGTCGAGGTCAAGGCAACGGGTGCGAATGCCGCGGCAGCTGAGGCCCCAAAGCCGGCTACAGCAGCCGAAGACGTGCCTGATCCGGATGAGGATGACCTAGACGACTTGGATGGTGAGACCGCAAGTCGAGTTCTGTCAGGAACTTAGACAATCGCAGAGCTCTAACCCCGTTTCAAGATATGCTAGATGAATTTTCAACCGTCAAACTTGAGAATGGAACCAACAAGCCCACTGAGTCTGGCAGTGCCGGCGCTTCAACCTCAACACCCAAGCCAGGTGACGCCACATCCACCAAGGAGCCGCCAGCTGCTGGGGAGGAGCCATTTTCAGAAGAAGACTTTGCCAAGCAGCTTCAAGCCGGCATGGCTGACTTGCTGGGCGAACTGGAGCAATCGGTATGCCGCTGCAGACATTTCCACAACCGGGGCCATTCTCACAAACTAATGAAATTTCAATCTTAGCCCGAGATGCAGCAGCAGTTTGAGGACATGTTCAAGCAAATGGCTGCTGCCTCGGGGGATGGAGCACCCGGAACAGCGACAGAGGGTTCCTCTTCCGCCAAAGCCGGACCTCCAGGCGCTGCCGCCGAAGCATCCTTCCAAGAGACGATCCGCCGGACCATGGAACGAATGCAGGCGTCTGGGGATCAGGCTACGGCCGCCGCAGCTACTAGCGGCGGTGACGATTTCATGTCGGAGCTGCTGAAGCAAATGTCCTCTGGCGATTTCAGTGGTGAGGGCAGCGAGGAAGAATTCTCCAAGATGCTCATGGGCATGATGGAGCAGCTTACAAACAAGGACATCTTGTACGAACCCATGAAGGAGCTCGATGACAAATTCCCGGAGTGGTTCGAAAAGAACAAGGCTTCAACCGCCGCAGAAGATCTCAAAAGGTATGAAGAGCAAAGGGTTCTCGTGAGAGAGATCGTAGCCAAGTTTGAAGAGAGCACCTACTCCGACGGCAACGCCTCCGACCGCGAGTATATCGTCGACAGAATGCAGAAGGTACGTGACGGCCCCGTAATTGTTTGTCAATGTTGCCACAGGAGTCAGTTGACACCTTTGACAGATGCAAGCCGCTGGCTCACCGCCGTCGGACTTGGTGGGAGACATGGCATCAGCACAAGAGGCATTCGGTGGAGCGGATGATCAATGCAACCCGCAATAGATATCCCGGTTGTTTCGATATTCCGAATTTCCATATCCTTATAACTAATACCCCATATACACAAGCTTCGTGCAAAATGACCAATAAGTACAATATCTATCAATTCCAAAAACAGTCTGATGAGTCCGACCTGCCCGACGCCAATAGGATGAAGCGCCTAAACTCCTTGCAAGTTTTAATACATGGCAATCACAAATGGGTTGGGGAAATACCACGGATGGTTCGGCTCATGACATATCCATATGCTCAGCAGAGGGTGGTGCTTGTGAACATGCTTGTTCTTGAGCGATTAGCTCTGCAAACACATCATCATACTCCTCGTCGGATAGTACAGGCGATGAGGGTCCCTGATCAAGTTGACTATGTTGCTCGTATGAAGCAACCATGACTTCGAGCTCTTCTTCCTCCTGACACACCACATCCATCGCGTCCTCGGGCTCGTGGTCGTCTTCATGGCTGCTTTGGAACTTGTGATTATCCTGAGATGCCATGGCGTCTTCTAAATCCGTCTCCAAGACAGCTGGCGCATCATGCGAAAGTCGTCCAATATCAGCCAACAAGCTATTCTTCAGGAACTGCGCGACTGTTAGGATACGTTGACGTTTCGAATGGAACAGCAAGTGCTGGCTGCAATCGTACCTGCCCCTCGATGTCTCTCCTCCGCCATGCCCTGTCATCCTGTTTTTGCCTCACACTCTGCAAAAAGTTGCGCCGTCTTGACTCCTGTGCGTCTTCCCGCTTGCGCAGTAAGGGGTTCTTGCGCACCGGACGAGACGCGTATCTGAACTTGGGCTGCTGGATAGGCGATGACTGAATTTGTCTCCGGGAGGAGAAGGAGACGTTTCCGTCGACGGAGTATAGGGGCGACGAGGGGCGGACAGGTGATGAGGAGAGAGGGGAGGACACATTGGGTCGGTGCTCCAACCCGAAGCTGGGTGCTGCAACGGAGAGCATGGTGTTGGTCTGTGGCGGCGTCGAGTCGTTTGGACGATTAGGCATGTGCAAAAGCTGACCGGCTTATGATGGGGATGGTAAAACTGAGCTTGTCGAGAGGGGAGCGTGCCGGCGGACAAGGGCGGGATGACGTGAATGGTTGAGGGCGTTGATAACTGAGGGTCATGGTCGTAAAATCAATTAAGACGCGTTCAGAAACAGGCGCGCAATCACGTGGCGGGACCTCAATATAAGCGGCAAAGGTCTGGCAAGTAACTTAAGTTAGGTACCCAGGCACTGAGTACCTACTAAGTAGGTACCTAGGTACTTAATGTAAGTACGGAAGTACGGAGAACTTAACTTGGCCAAGTACGGGGGGTCGCTGCTCCCTAGAAGCTCGCGCTCCAGGCAATCGATAGCTGCCAACCCCCGCAGCCTCCGGCAGGCCCGGGCGCTGGCCGCGCTGACTCTCGGGGGCAATCAGCAGCAGCCCACGGGCGGCGGTCCTTCCGTTCCCAACCGATTGAGAGCGGAGGCGCCTCGGCGAATCACGGCGTGACAAAGAAGGAAAAGCTGATCTTCTGATGACGCGCCCCAACTTTTTCCGTCGCGAGTGACTTCTCCCTCACGCCATGACCTCGCTTCACCATATGTTTTAAGATGGGTGTCTCGACCTCGCTGGCAACCGCTCGATTCCCGTGAGAGAATTTGACGGCGATATTCCTCAATGCCTGCCAGGATCCTCTTTTGACCCCAACATTCTCCAAAATGAGCGCCCTTGCGGCCCCCCGAATAGCCTCCCGGCTTGCAACCAGAGCATGGACGTGCTCAGCTTGTCAGAGTCAATTGGCCACCGCGAAACCTTCCCCGTCTCGAGGCTTCAGACAATTTGCTTCGGCGAGAGCCTCGCCACAAGGGGCCGGCGGTAATGGTCGTAGAGGGTCGCGATCCCGCAGAGCGTTGTTGCTCGCCTCTGCCAGTGCGGCTGGTGTGGCGAGCACAGCGCTCGTTTTCACAGATGAGATAAGAAGTAGCTACGAGTCTGTGGAGCGGACTGGTAGAGTTGTTTCGGCGCTAGCCATTTGTATTAATGAGTAAGTAGCCGGCTTCCTGGGAACTGCATCATGTGGCCGTAGGGTCTATGACTCATCGTTTTGGCAGCTACCGTACAACACTAAACGCAAAGGCCACGATACTCGACGAGGAGGAACAGACCAACATCTTGCGAGCCTGTCACAAACGTTGCGCCGAGAGAACTTTCAAAGTGTTGGAAAGGAATGGCGGCATTTTCATCAAGCTGGGGCAGCATTTGGTAGGAAAAGCAGTCCTCCATCTCGACGGCCTCCCAAGCACAGACTAACAGTGTCCTTTTCTCTCTTTCCAGAGCGCCATGAACTATCTTTTGCCGCCCGAATGGACAACGACTTTCGTCCCGTTACAAGACAAGTGTCCCATCTCGTCGTTTCAATCCATCCAAGACATGTTTCGCAGGGATACTAATGGAGAGCTATGGGACATCTTTTCTGACTTCTCGAGCGAACCCATTGGCGCGGCCTCTCTCGCCCAGGTCCATCTAGCGACTCTAAAGGACTCGGGTCGCAAAGTTGCCGTCAAAGTGCAGCATCCTGACCTTGAGGCATTTGCGCCATTGGATCTCGCCCTCACCAAGTACACCTTCTCTACATTGAAACGATTCTTCCCCGAGTACGACCTCGAATGGCTTTCGTCCGAGATGGAAGTATCACTGCCAAAGGAACTCGACTTCCAACAGGAGGCAGACAACGCCAGGCGGATGAAGGCGCATTTTGCGAAATTGCCCGAACTGCCTCTCGTGGTACCCGAGGTAATTTGGGCCAAGAAGCGTATCATTGTCATGGCCTGCGAGTCCGGTGCTCGGCTTGATGACCTCGAGTACCTGGACAAGAACGGAATCGACCGTGACGAGGTGTCGGCGACACTGGCACGCATTTTCAACGAAATGATTTTCGGAGACGGCGCGCCGCTGCACTGCGACCCCCACGGTGGAAACTTGGCCGTTCGCAAGAACAATACTCGCCGGGGCATCGGACGCGGCCCCAACTTTGATGTCATACTCTACGACCACGGTCTCTACAGAGACATCCCGCTGCCCTTGCGGCGCTCTTACGCCAAGATGTGGCTGGCAGTCATTGACGGCGACATGGACCGCATGAAGAAGTACTCGCACGAAGTTGCCGGCATCAGCGACCAAGATTTCCCGCTTTTCGCGTCCGCCATCACGGGACGCGACTTTAGCGTCGTCAGCAACCAGGGCTCTATCCTGCAGACCCGCAGCGCCGACGAGGAGCAGAACATGAGCTCGTCCCTCCAAGAAGGGCTCATTGTCGATCTGGTGCAGATGCTCAGCCGCGTGCCGCGCATCATCCTTCTCATTCTCAAAACAAACGATTTGACGCGAAGCCTGGACGAGAGCCTACAAACTCGCCAAGGTCCCATTCGCAGCTTTCTGATCCTGGCGCGATACTGCACGCGAACCGTCTTCCATGAACAGCTGGAGCAGATCGGCAACAAGGGATCACTCCTCTGGCCGCCAAATGGCCTGAGAGTGTTTGCTGCGTGGCTGGGCTACATGAGGGTTGAGTTGAAGCTGGAGGCTTTTGAGCTCTGGCTGGGTGTGAAGCGGATGCTGGGATTGGAGGTGAAATTCCGCTAGGGGCTCGCAATTGTCGAGTCAGAGTTGGCAATAGAGCGCATGACGGCGCACCATAGACTGTGTGTGTATATACTAGAGTGATGAGGATTATAGACAATCAGAGCAAGAGCAGTCGGTCCTTTGTACGTGAAGTGCTGCGCTGTGGGATGTCTGATGGACAATGGACAATGGACAATGGCTTCGCTTTCACCTGTACAGATGGGCGAACGAGTGCCGAGAGGAGGACAAACGAAATACTTTAGGTGAATGGGCTGCGAGATGATGCGGTAACAGCCACCACGAGATTCCCAAAATGTCTGAAATGCAGGACAGCAGTGTGTGCAGGAGAGGATGCTTTGCGAAAGGAAAAAGAAAGAAAGAAAGAAAAGGGACTCACGGACAGGAGAACCAGGGTCCGGTTATACTGAGACGGGCAAAAAGACACATCGTGGTTCCGCCCCGGGCTCGAACCGGGGACCTTTCTCGGTGTTAGCGAGAAATCATGACCAACTAGACCACGAAACCGAGGGGAGCTTGTGCTGGTTCCAGCTTTACTTGCATCCAAGATCCCTTCAGCTGGCTATTGGGTGGGGTTTGCTGCGGCGGCCCATGGACGGGCACCGAGGCTGTTCTTGCACGATGGAGCAGATGAGTTCTATCCGAACAAGGATAGAACGGCGGTTGTGCGGCGTCCAGCTCAGTCTCTACAAAACATAGCCTTGGCAAAACGCTGCTCGCTCTCCCGTCGGGGTCTGGGAATTCGGGACAGCTGTGGGCACCGACCAGGCCGAGGCGTATGATTGGTAATTTCATCATCGAGTTTACCCGGATTGCCGCTTCGAATTCCAATCCAGTCAATTATCCATCAGCAGACAATGACTTGGTGGCTATGCTATGCTCCGTGATATACAAAATACACAATACAGTTTCACCATCCGTATGCGAGCTTCTGGTATCTGAAAACAGAGTGCGCCGGTTCCATGCATCTCGGGAATATCCAGTTCGCCAAGTCTTCTCAAACGCTGTTACCGCTTCGGACCCCGATGCTCTCCTCGTATTCTGTCCACCGCAACGCCTCCTCTACGTCATTAACAAAATGCGATTCGCCTCCGCTTAGTGCCACAATGCCACTACTCTCCAGTAGCTTCCAGACCGCGCGGTCCCGTGGACTCGGGCAACGGGAGAAGAAGATGCGTACGCCACGTTCCCGGTAGCTGCGTACAATTTCCTCGAGAACCTGGGTGCCCGACCCGTCCATGGATGTGACGCCGTGAATGTCAAAGATGATGTTGCGGTTCGATTCTTGGCTCCGAAGACGAGGGAGGGCCGGATGTACTTTTGAGGTTCCGTACAGCTCCAGGCGTCGCAACCGCGCCTTCAATTCTCCAGTGTTGGCAAAAGTCAGTGGCTCTGGAATCTTGACAATGAGACACCCTTCAATGAATTCCAGACACGCATGACCAGACTCGGCGTTTTCGAAACGATTCGTCCCGGGGATCCGCCCCAGAATCTGAATTCTCGAACGTGTGCTGTGCTTGATGACCAGAAGGATCGAAATACCAACGCCCAGAGCCATGCCCAGCGTGAGAGAATAGAAAATGGTGGCCAAGAAGATGACGGCCATGAGACCGAGCTCCGTCCAGCCCCTTATTGTGATGAAGAAAGCAATATCATGCGGCGCCTCCTCTATCAACGAACAAGCCACGACAGATATCATCGAACAGAGAACAGGTTTCTGCCCAGGGTTAGTCAAGACGCGCGATATTCAAACTTCATAGGCACGCGTACTCACCGGCAAAAAGTAAAAGTACGGAAGGAGAAACAAGATGGACAAGAGCGAAATCAGACTCAGCAGGATCGAGCTTACCGGGCTCTTTCCCCCGGTCGTCTTGTTCACCTTGCTTCTGCCGTAACCTCCAAAGGCGGGCAGACTCATAAAGCACGCGCCGACGAGGTTGGCAGCGCCAAGGGCAATCATTTCCCGATTTGCGCTCAGTTCGATGCCTTGAATAGCATCATTGCCTCCCAAGCTCTTGGCCGCAACAGATGACTCGAAGAAGCCAAGCAATGCGATGAGAAAAGATGTTGACATGGCGGTGCGAATGTGCTTCATGTGGGATAATTGGAATGGCCATCGAAATGCAAACACGCCTCCATTGGCAGCTTTGACAGAGCCAAGGACCTCGACGCCTTGCTGATCCCAACGCAAGTGCCAGCAAAGAATGGCAGAAACGACGACTACCAAGAATCGATCTGGGATAAACACGGCGGAGGGAAACTTGGGTTCGAGACTCTTCTTAACCTCACTGTACAGCATTAGCACCCGGTCCAACGGCATACAAGCACCAATCATGCCGAGACTCACCGAAAAATCATGATGACAAGGAAGCTGATGCCAGCAACTGCAAACGTCAAATGGTGGGCCTCGCCGATGTTCTCGATAATGAAGGCAATCTTCTCAAAGGTACTGCCGTGGCTTGCGCCCTCTTGGCTCGCAAGATTGTTCAGGCCAAGCTCAGGAATCAGCTGGTCCACGGCTATGACGAAGCCAATGGCACTGATGAACCCACGTAGAAAAGGGCGACTGAGAACGCTGTCCAAGAAACCCAACCGCGCTATTCCCGCAATCAAAACGGTGGCTCCCGCCATACCGGCCACAACCCCACAGATCTGGGCATGGACGAGGTCGTTATCCTCGGCCGAGCCACCGCTGTCGACGCTCTGCTGCACCACTGTTCCCACAAGCAGAGACCCAGCGGCCTCCGGACCAACAACCATTTGTGAGGATGAACCAAGCAAGGCGTAGATCAAGGGGTTGAAAACGAAGGCGTACAGGCCGTGAATCGGAGGTACATGTGCGAGGTTGGAAGCGAGCGAGAGCGCCATGGGGAGGTAGAAGGATGCGATGGTAACGGCAGACACCAGGTCGCCTTTGAAATAGGCCCATTTGTACTGCTGCATCCAATTCAGGCAAGGAATGTAATATGACAGATACCTATCTTCACTGTTAGCAACCGAGCCACCAAATGGGCTCGTGCGAAAGCTCACATCAAAGGCATATCTCGAAGTCCAGCTTGATGAGCCAGTTCCCTAGTCTGGCCCATCCTTCGGGTCCGGATTCTCCCGCTAAACCATCTTTTCCAGCCTTCTTCCGTGGATTCTTGGGATGAAGAGTTGTCAAGAAATTCGCCAGGCCCCGCGGCAACGGCATCGTCCCTCGTAAAGGTGAAGGGGAACGCTTCATCCGGCGTCGTCGGCCTAGGGCTAAAAGTACCGTGGTTGCAAACCCCAGGATGGACTGCGCTCGATCGTCTGCGTTGGGCACCTCCGCCGTCGGGAATCAAAGGCGTGGACTCGTTGGCATTGCGGCCGATGCTGGTCTCACCTTGGGCGGTATTCTCCTCCCCAGAAGGGACTGCATGTCTGAACGCCGGGCCGCTTTCCTGACTACTGTCTCGGCTCGAAGCTGGGTGGCTCTGACGAAGTGAACTCGGCTGGATAGGCCGATGGCTCTTGCTGGAGGATGAGTCCTCGCGATGGTGCGAGGAATGCCCCATGCTGTGGGCACAAGACGGATGATTGATCTCGAGTCTCGGGGGCTGAGGCAAGCTGGCAGGCGAGCAGGCAGAAATGGTCGCGGCACGGTCGAGCTGCTTCCCAAGGTTGTGGATGTGAGTTGTGTATCGCGTGTGCCCGACGCATCGAATTGGAGAGCACGCAATCAGCGACCAGATGACGAGGGAGGAGGAGCTCAACGCAGGATCTCAGTTAGAAGTTGGGCGGATCGAATGTCGATCATGTCCGGCGAGACACAGGCGGGGATGAATTGCTTTTGCATAATTGAGGAACCAAATGGGATGCGTCAGCAAAGAGGTCCAAGCAATGTTGGTGCTCGGGAGCGAAGGAGCCAGTAATTAACTTTGGATGTCAACACGATGCCTCTTTCGGCACGCGCCAGCAGTTAAAGTTCAGCGTCCTTGGGCAATGAACTCAATGCCCCTGTGCCCCGTACCGAGCGAGGAGTAAACGTCCGGGAATCAAGTGGTGGGCTGGTTGGTAGCGGGGCTGGCCAAAGTCAGGCGACCCGCTGCGCCCACTTAGAACGCTGGCATCACTCAGCAGCAGGGGACGAGAGACGAGGAGCCGGCTGGGCCGAGGCCGGGCGGAAAGCGCGACGAGGCAGGCAACACGTCACGTGCGCGTAAATCCAGGCTCTGGTTGCTCTTCGGACTGACGATGTGCACTTGACCAACGTCAAGAGAAGTGATGCAGTCCTCCCGCCGCCTTTTATGTTTCTGCGGTGAGCCAGACCGAGGGTCCGAAGAAGAAATTCTGGGCGGTCATGGGATACCGTATAACCATCGCCTGCATATGCACATCAGCCAGGGAGCCCGGCCTCAACAATGAACACCGCCACAGGCACCCCGTCGAGGAACCGAGGAACCGCGCGCACAACAAACTCTGACCAAGCGGAATTTGAGTTTCACAAAGTGTTGCCACCCGCCGGTCTGTTGGGCGTCATTGGCCACGGAAGCACGCGGGAACTAATGGTCCTCTCCCACGTGCTCACTGCTCGGTATGATGTGACGATGCATTCCTGCCTTGTCAGGTTACATGGAGAAGGCGTCAGTAACACGCGAGACCAAGCGTTCCTTGCATCCAGAAGTGAAAGGATATGCAGGCGAGTTGTTTTCTTTTCTTCCCCGTCTTTCTACACCCCACCTGTTGATGTTTACTCCTGCAGGACTTCTTTCCGGATCCGTACGGGGATCGACATCAGCCACTCCCCAAGACTCGGTATATACAAAAACTTTGTTTTGAAGGAATACTCTCGCGGAGCGACATGTCCGTTCGACATGTGAGCGAATGTTTGACGTCGATTGTAAGATCCGTTGTGGTCCTAACAACTCATCGTTAGCTGGCTGCATTACCTGACAGTTCGTACTTGAACTTTACTGCATATTCTTAGCCAAGCATCGGCGAACACCAACTCTTCCATCCCGTACCTTGTCTTCAATCACGTTCTTTTCCTCGCATTTCAGTTCGGTACTGGTGTTTTCTTGCGCCATTGAGCCGTGGGTAAAGGACATGATTGCGGGAAACGAAGCGGACGAGCTGAGGTGACTCCTGAGAGGTCTTTGGCCCGAGTTGCGGAATCTGCTCCAAGATTCCCCCTTTGCAACGCTCATTATCTGCAATGGTATCAAATGCATTGACAACAATGACCAAATATTCCTTTTCAGCTTGTCGCGGCTCGGATCAAGTCCCTGGCTGATATTGTAAAATAATTTGTGGCCGAGACCACCAGAACAACAAAATCTATTTCTTATTGTCGCGCAAGCACAGCAGTAGTGCGGGTTGTATGATAGTTCAAGCCTGGAGCATCAATGAGCGTAATGGCCTCCACCTTCTTGTTGCCAAGTAGAGACTCGTCTGCCGTCTGCAGGTCGCTGGCAAAAACTTTGCACTGCGTATACCCCGAGTCAACCACGACCTGCTCCGGGTCTTCAAGCAAAGCAAAGCCCGAGGTCTTGCTGGCGTTGAGCACCTCGCAGAAGATGGCGTGCATGGCTGATGATCCTCGGGAAGAGCAGGGCGACGCAGTAAGGCGTTGCCGGATGTCGACTTTCCGGCATTGAAGTCACCAGTCACCAGAATCTTGCTGAATGAATCGTTTATTCTCTCGCGTAAAGCTAGGAGCTGTAGAATGCACGTCTCCATCCTTCCTTCTAGCATCGTGGCAATGGTCTCCTTTCCCAACAAGGGTTGCACAAAATTCATCAAGATGAGAGGCTCCGAATTTCACATGCATCCGTACAAGATGAAGCGCAAACGCTATCCGCGGCGTAGTAAATTGGTTGTTGTCAGCCTTAGATCTCTATCAAATATAGTGAATACATTTGTAATTTATATTATACCAATTTATTTTATGTAATAATTTAAAAATATGTTATAATACAATATAATATACTCACAAATATATTATAACAATAAAATATTTATTTTTTTCTTTCTGCTCTACTATAATTTAAACAGACATTAAAGAGTCAAGACTTTGATCTTGACCCCTGGCTAGGCGCGAGTTCCGCCTACATTCCCGTCTGACGTCCGATGCCGGAAGCAAGTTTGGCTTCCTCATTCTATTCGGGACAAAATCTTTTTCTGGCTGCGGAACATGGCCCCTAGGGTATCACGGAATGGCAGATGGATATAAATACATGTATGTAGGACCACTTAACCCAAGCATCTCGTCCGATGAGGCAACACTTGCAAGGTATTACAAAAAACATGGAGAGTACATGGTGGTCAAGTTCATGAATTAAAATCACGCCGACAATTTTCTCATATACAACAATTACAATTCATCATACGACCTCATTAACAAAGAGAGCGGCCATGCCCTGACCAGTGCCGATGCACATGGAAGTAAGGAGAATCTTTTTCTTTTGGCGTCGCAATTCACTCAGTCCAGTGACCACTTGTCTGGCACCAGTGGTGCCCAGGGGGTGACCGAGGGCGATAGCACCGCCACGAGGGTTCATCTTTGTCCAGTCAATGGACAACTTGTCACGGCAGTAGACAGCCATTGTGGCAAAGGCCTCGTTAAGCTCAATCACATCAATATCAGCAAGAGCAATGTTGTGGATGGCGAGCAGCTTGGGAATAGCAACGCTTGGTCCGATGCCCATGATGCGGGGTGCCAGACCGGCGACGGTGGAACCGACGTACTTGGCCAGGATGGGCTGGCCGAGCTTGACAGCGGTTGATCGCTTCATCAGGATCACGGCAGAGGCTCCGTCGGTGACCTGGCTGGCATTGCCACCAGTGGTCAGAGGTCCCCACTGGGGGAAAGCAGGTCGAACCTTTCCGAGGCCTTCGGCAGTAGTACCTGGACGGATGCCCTCGTCCTTTGACAGGGTCACCTCCTTCACCTCGCCATCGGGACCTTTGACTTTGGTGGCAATAGGAACAATCTCATCGTCGAACCAGCCAGCCTTCTGCGCCTCCTCTGCTCGCCGGAAACTCTCGGCAGAATACTTGTCCAATTCGTCTCTCGAGAGATTGAAGTCACGACCGACGTTCTCGCTAGTCCAGCCCATGGGCTGCATGCAGTCAGTAGCGTCCTGGCTTTCCTTGAGGACGTCCTCGTCGAATGGTTGCTCAAGACGACTGCCTGGGGCGGACATGAGCTCTGCGCCACCGGCTATATCAATCTCAATGGAGTTGTTTGATATGGAGTGTGCAATGTCGGCAATTGCCTTCAACCCGGAGGAGCAAAATCGGTTGACGGTGCTGGCACCGGCGGTATTGGGGAAGCCGGCGGCTAAAGCTGCGGCACGGAGCTTGTAGGCGGCATTGCCATCGGAGACCTGAGTTTCAAGAATGTTAGTATTTGTCTCGCATATATTGATCAAGGGAAAAAAAAAACCGTACATTACCGAAGCAGACGTCCTCGACGAGAGCAGGATCAAGGTTGCTGCGTTCGCGAACCTGCTTCAGAAGAGCGTAGATCAAATACTCGAGGCTAGTATCCTTGAAACCACCCTTGCGGGCCTTGGTGAGCGGTGTGCGGACCGCCGAAGTGATACAATATCATCAGGATTCTTGGACTGGCTGCACAAACATGTCAGAAAAGTTGCAGTGCAGACTCGTAGTGATGCTTACATCTGATTGATGGCTGACCCTGGGGCCAGGTGCTTGATGATGGAACCAATGCGCTCGACAGCCATTGCGTTGGATAATCTGGGTGACTGAAATCAGATGAAGGACAAAAGCAACGAGGTGGCTAAGAAATGTCCAGACTTTGAAGGAGGCTGAGGTGTGAAAGGCGGCACGCGTTTATTAGCCGTAGGAGACCGAGGGTGCTCGATTGTGGGGTTGAGCCGAGGCAATGGCCTGCTGGTCGCTGCTTCCGGTGGAAGCCTGCACTTGAAAGGTGGCAGGTGCGCCCCCGACTAATCCTGCCAACACTCTCCAGGTCGGAATACAAAATACATAAGTCAGGCACGGGAAAGACAATTTGACATTTGCATCTCCAATGCGCCCATGTCCAAGAGTCCAAGATCTTCCACGATGAACCCACCGCCCTGCACTGGCATTGGTTGTTCTGTGCTGAGTCAGGCTGAGAGGTGAAAGCTTGGACAACACTTTCCACACGGGGCACAATTTCAAATCCTCGGAATATGAGAGCACACAGGTGGCGACATTATTTCACCCAACCTGCACCACGACCGCGTGAGGCAAGCAGTTTCAGCATCAAACAAAGACGCACGGGCTTCGCCACTAAGAGAGGCCGTTGTCTTCAATCTCGCATCGAGAATAGGTCAACCCAAGACAAATGTCGGGAGAGGTTTACTCACCAATCACTCGCATGCCCTCCCAAACGGCCCCTCCGACGAAACCAACCAATCAATCTTCAACCCCTTTCTGCGAACATCTGGATCGTGGAACCAGGCACGCGGGCCGCCCGAAATAGCGCTACCTGACCGAGTTTCGGTGTCAGCTTGCCCCCCTAGCCGTTCGCCCGGCCCTGCCATCATCCACCAGAAGCAAAATTCAAAATGGAGGGAGAGAAACCGGCTTTGTTCCGCAGCCACATCTGCCTCGCTACCAACGTTACCTTTTCAGCCTCGCCGAGTTTGGTGTGTGCAGAGTAGCTGAAGATAGGGGCGGTTGAATGTGCCAAGCCGCATGGGGGATCGGATATCCGAAGTCCGTACGGAGTACCCCTGGTCCAATATTTCTGTTTGATGTCAGCCGCTGGTCGCCATCAGCGGCAGCGCTCATTCTTTTTCCTTCTTAACCACCATTACTCCAGAAGCGCCGGACATTTGTTGTTTCCCATTCGACTCGAGCCATTTGCATCTTGTTTCGGCGTCCTCGTTCGTTCTGCCTGCGCTCCGAAGTAAGGCGCTCACGGGTTGCGCAACAATGCTCGATCCGTCCCTTTGAAAGGTAGACGAAGAACTGCGACAAGACGGGTAACGACAGCATTTGCGCGCCGGATGTCAAAGTGATTCCAAGGGTCACAAGTCCGTGTTTTTTTTCTAGCCTTTCGCGTCACCTTCGTTTATCAGCGTTTCTCTCCTAACTGGTTCCAATTCGCATTACTTCCACAATGAGGACTCTACCCAGGGCGGCACAGATCGTCTTTTTGGTCGAGATCTGCTCAGCTGCCTCGTTCAAGCGCGGCCTCGCCTTCACGCCCAATGCCGAGCACTCTGAAGATAACAAGATCTGGGTGCAGTCTGGTAGCGACGTGACATGGTATTACAACTACCAGAGCACACCGTCGCCAGTCTATTCCGGCCTGTCACAGGATCGTTTCGAGTTTATCCCTATGATGTGGGGTGTCGGCCCCAATCCCAACGACACTAAGTTCCTGACAGACGTGAAGAATCTGATTGACGACGGCATCAAAATCAAGCACGTCTTGGGGTTTAATGAACCGGACACAGGCTCCGCATACGGAGGCAGCAACGTCAAGCCCGCAGATGCGGCCCTCGCTTGGGTCGCCAACTTTGAACCTCTTGGCGAGATGGGTGTGAAGCTCGGCCTGCCGGCATGCTCTGGAGGATGGGACAGTCTGCCTTGGCTCAAGCAATTCTTGGGCAATTGCTCTGAGCTGATCAGCACTGGCAAGGGGAAGAAGAACTGTACCTGGGATTTCTTGCCGGTTCACTGGTACGATAACTTTGCCGGCTTGGCATCGCATATTGGTGAACGAGAGGCGACGTAAGTTGATGATTCCAGCTACTTCATATTGACCATGCTATCGTGTGTAGTAATTGGACTGACCTCGGCGTATAGCTGGCCTAACAAATCAATCTGGGTGACGGAATACGCGTATGCTCATCAGGATCTCAAGCCAACCCAAGAGTACTATAACCAGACCATCGACTTCTTCGAGAAGCTCGACAATATCGGCCGCTACTCGTACTTTGGCGCATTTCGCTCCACCAACTCTAATGTTGGCGCCAATGCGGCATTCCTCGATAAGAGCGGCAAGCTGACCGACATCGGAGCCTGGTATCTTGGCTTTGAAGCCACTGGGAACACTCCCGAAAGCTCCCGGGCTGTACTGCTGGAACCCGGGGTGGGAGCTCTTTTTCTTAGCGCCATTGTCGGACTTTTTATCGGTTCCCTGTAATTGAAGGTTTAGTTTAATTCCACATCATTGATACAAGGGGGTTGATGTGCGAGTTGCTTGAAGTTTTCAGGAGTATATTTTCAATTCATTCGGCATGGCGCGGTAAAAATAGGATGCGCGGGAGGCCTTTGTTGTCGTTTTCCATACACCGCAGACATTGCTACATTGTGGTTGCGCATGTACAGTAAACCACCTCTATAACGATAACCTTCGTGAGCCTTTTTTCATCGTAATATAGCGACTATCGTTAAGATGCGATAATTGTGGGGTTGTACCTTCCCTTAGAAATTACTAGTAAAAGTACATATTAAGGGATTATTAGCAAAATTTGCCCTACTAAAAGGAAATTCAGCCCCACTATAAGGAATTCAGCCCTTAAAGTAGGGCTGCATAACAATAAAATGCATAGTGACTAAGCAAAAAGTCAACGATATTGTTAGTAACGCGACTATTAACGATTTACTAGGGAAAAACCTTAGATGACCGTGAATTATCGTAAAAACCTGAATATCGCTAAGATACAGGATCGTTATAGACATAGTTTACTGTACTAGACATTTTGCTTTTGTGCGCGTGTCACTTGGTCACGATGCCAAGTCATACTAGGGTAACGGGTTCATGCAATGCATGTCAAAGCACTTGTACGCACTACGGATCATTGCCGGACAGAATGGTCTTGCCGCACGCGAACCAAGTCAGCCTGGGATCAAACATGTTGAAGCTGTCCACGTGGCAAGTCGTATCAATCTCATCGTACATATTCGGTACCGGAATTCTAGTCTTGGCTGCGTCCGACGGCCTTGGTGGCCCCATGTCGTGTACGGAGCACCCCAGCCTGTTTTGCCTCCACGATTTTGTCCACGATGGGCCCGCGGCAGCAGCCACGGACCAAGTATCGGTCTTGCCGGCTGCGCCACCGGGTGAGGCACCGTCTCCGCCAGTCGACGGCGTGCGGGGGTTGGCGGGGTCCACGTGACTCGGCGACTCGGGGGGCTCGGCAGAACGACGGACTTGCCAAGACATAAAAGGTCATGATCATGCTTGGCATAGAAGGACAATAGAAGCCTTTGGAAGCAGCCTTCAAAGCCTACAACCGGCATGGCTGTCTATCGAGCATGTCAGAAACAGCAAGCAGATGACTGGTCAAAAGAGCAACTAGGCACGGAGTACCCAGGTAGCAGCTTCCCCGGCCTCGTCGCAGAGACAAGGACCAGTTGCAGGGGACCCCAGTGTCTTGGCATTGATAAGGCCTGAGCCCGTGCACTAATGGATGGTGGCTGCGACACACCATGATAAGCTTAACTACGTAACCGGCCAGACATCAACCAGACACCAGGTGACGCAGCTCCTTCCTGCAAGGCCAGACTTCCCAAAATCCAGCGTGCACTAACCCGCCGCCACAGTTGATAATACACAATCTGCCATGGCACCTAATGCTTTCTTGGCAGTGCCACGCCCGTTCAACGACTGGACGACGCGCGTCGCCAAGCGAAAGTGTGTTGCCTTGGCGAAACCATGGTGCTCATCCATGCTCATGGAGGATGGAAAACGAGAAAAACTGAGGAATGAATAGAGCAAGATTCACACAACCTACAGGAAACGTTGCAGCGTAAGCGTATTACGCTGGCCACTTCCAATTGACCGTGATTGGTGTGACTTGACCGGCGCCTTTTTCCCGTGCCGGCAAGAACAGTGTCTGCTCCTTCCCGGCCTGGACTTCAGTGGCAGGCCAGGGGTCGCCCTCGCACGTGGTGTGTTTTCTTCCCCAAACCCCAGACAATCAACTTCACGCGAATCGGTGTCAAGAGTCATGACGATGTGTATCCCAACCGGGCTTTGCCCCAATTTCTTGGCACTGCGAACAATGCAGTTTTCCTCAAATGTCCCGGCACACAATGAATACCCTGCCGTCTCTCCCCTCACCTCTCACCTCTTACCGCGCCCATCGACGCTATCGAGGAGTCGTCCACGCGGCTTTGACGTCGCGCCACCATTCCTGGCCAAAGTCAGACATGGGGACGGGAGCTGATGTTTTCCTGGGCTTCTTGGCTGGTTGTAGAGATGGATATTCCGCCAAGAACACTAGGCCTTCTAGATGTGCTGTATCGGTTAACTTGGCTGACCCACGGCTGTAGCAGCTCTCTTGGCGCATTTTCTCCAGGTTTGATTGAAGGGCATGCTGAGAAATCGGACATCGTCAAGTATTTATATGGCCGTTGCCCCTCCCCTCCGCTTGCATGCTTTAATCCGTTTTGATGTTTTAGCAACAAGAAGCATCCCGGTCTCCAAGACCAATACTGCGTGGGCATTGACCTCAGCGCCCCAATTGCGTCTATCCTTTCCATACAACTTCGGAATTGGAATGGGATTTTGAGATTGCATATCCCCAGCAACAACAAAGAAGAAAACTTTGCTCTTCCAGAGGGGCGCGATTGTTCGGCAGCCCTGCCCTATACACCCAAGGGTCCTTTTTGGCGATCTCGGCGCCACCCTCATCGTCTATGAAGCAGATCTTGCCATCAACTAGCTTGTGCCCTACATCTGAGCAACGCGACGGTCGATCTGCCTCGCACTGGCCGTCATCCGACAATGGCTGAATTCCCAAGGCATCCGTTCCTCCTTACCGTGGAGGAGACGGCCCAGGCTCTTGATACCGATATTGACAAAGGTCTGACAACAGCTCAGGTTACTGAGCTACAGCAGAAATACCCCAAAAACGAGCTGGATGTCGGTGACTCCATTCCGTGGTACAGCATTCTCACCAAACAAATCCTAAATGCCATGATCATTGTCCTGGCATTTGCCATGGCGCTTAGTTTTGGTATCAAAGATTACATCGAAGGAGGCGTCCTCGCCTTTGTCATTGGCCTCAATGTTACCATTGGGTTTTGGCAAGAGTACCGCGCTGAGAAGCGAATGGACGCCCTTCGTGCCTTGTCTTCGCCTAGCGCCATGGTTCTTCGAGATGGTAAAACACAAGTCATACCCAAGTAGGTTGGTGTCTGCAGGAATGAGAGAATATTTTCTAGGTATACTAACTTCTCCACAGCCCTGACGTCGTTCCGGGAGACGTTGTTTTGCTCAAGATGGGTGACACTGTACCCGCAGATATGCGCATGTTTGAGGCCATGAATCTCGCATGCGAGGAGGGACAGCTTACCGGCGAGTCCATCCCCGTCGAAAAAATGACCGAGAACAACATCCTCGCCCCTGGCACTGAAAAAGCTGCTACTTCCGAGGGCGAGGTGGGCATTGGCGATCGCGTCAACATGGCGTATGCTACCACTGTCGTCCGAAAGGGCAGAGGTCGAGGTATTGTCACCGCCATTGGCATGACTACGGAAGTTGGTAAGATTGCCGCTTCTACCGCCAAAAAGCAGCGAAAGGCCGGTCGATCTATGAATTGGCGCAAGTACGGGAAGAGACAGCCAGTGGTTGGCTTAGCCAAGCGAACGTACGATCTCATCGGCAAGTTCTTGGGTTTGACTGAAGGCACTCCACTACAGAAAAAGCTGTCTGCCTTGGCATATGTGCTTTTCGGTTGTGCAATTATACTTGCCATGGTTGTCTTTGGCGTCAACCACTTCAATTTGCGAAATGAAGTCATTATTTACGCCACATCGCTTGGAATAGCTATCATCCCCGAGTCTCTGGTTGCGTAAGTTGGACTCTCCCAAAAAAAAAAATAATAATGAAAAGGCTCACAACTCTAATCGCTTCTATAGTGTCCTGACCATCACCATGGTGGTCGCTGTAACCGTCATGCGAAAGGCCAACGTAGTTGTCCGAGATCTCTCTGCCCTCGAAGCCCTTGGTGGAGTTACCAATATTTGCTCAGACAAGACTGGTACACTGACCGAAGGAGCCATGATTGTTCGCAAGGCCTGGATTCCGTCTTCTCACACCTATAATGTCCGCGAATCACAGAATCCCAGCGATCCCACCAAAGGCCGCGTAACGTATTCTCAGGGCTCTGTTGAGAAGGAGGAGCCCAAGCGCGACTACGACAGGGAGCGCAGTGCTGCCGTTCTCAAGTTTGATGTCCCCGACGAGAAGCTTCATCCCAAACCCGCCGAGGAGAACCCCGAAGCAGAGCCCGAAACAACACTAACGGACGGCCTTGAAGCATTCCTCTTATCCGCCGCTCTTTGCAACCTTGCCACCGTCCGGTATGACGACGAGGAAGAGAAATGGCAGACTACTGGCGAGCCGACCGAAGTTGCGCTTCAAGTCTTTGCTCATCGATTCAACAAGGGCAAGAAGAGCCTTGAATCTAAAGGTTGGAAGCAACTTGCCGAATTCCCATTTGACAGCTCCATCAAGCGCATGTCTGTGATCTACGATGCACCTTCTGGCGAAAGCGGCTCCATTATTGAGAGCGAGCAGAGCATGGTTTTCACAAAAGGCGCCGTGGAGAGAATACTGGATTTGTGTTCTTACATTGGTTCCGGAGCTGAACAGCAACCAATCTCAGACCAACTCAAAGAGGAGACCCTCAATCAGATGAATATTCTGGCATCCCAGGGTCAGCGAGTCCTTGCTATCGCTTACCGTCCATGGGGAGGTCGATTCACCGCGAAGCAGTCAGCATCTGCCGCAGAAGACGAGACACTTCGCAGAGAAGTTGAAAAGGATCTTGTCTTGCTCGGACTTGCTGGAATCTATGATCCCCCTCGCCGTGAAACGAAACCGTCCATAGGAGAGTGCTCTCAGGCCGGCATCAAGGTCCACATGCTCACCGGTGATCACCCCGAAACTGCAAAGGCAATTGCCAAGGAGGTCGGCATCATTCCCAAGAACCTCGGCGTCCTACCCGAAGAGGTTGCCCAGTCCGTTGTCCAGAAAGCCACGGATTTTGACAAGATGTCGGATGCGGAGATCGACGCCCTCGAGGAGCTCCCCCTTGTGATTGCCCGCTGTGCCCCTGACACCAAAACTCGAATGATTGAAGCGCTCCGACGACGTGGATCATTCATGGCCATGACTGGTGACGGCGTCAACGATGCTCCATCCCTCTCCCGCGCTGACGTGGGTATCGCCATGGGCTCTGGTTCTGATGTAGCCAAGTCAGCTTCCAAGATTGTCCTGACCGACGACAAGTTCAACTCCATTGTTGCCGCTATCCGCGAGGGCCGTCGAATGTTTGACAATATTCAAAAGTTTGTCCTGCATCTTCTCACCTCCAACGTGGGCGAGGTCATTCTTTTGATCGCCGGTCTCGGTTTCGTCGACGACACAGGATTCTCCGTCTTCCCAGTGTCACCGCTCCAGATCATTTGGATCAACATGGTCACGTCGTCGTTCCCTGCGTTTGGCCTCGGCCGGGAGGCCGCCGCCGCCGACGTTATGCGCAAGCCGCCGCAGGACAAACGACGAGGCGTGTTCACGAACCAGATCATTGTCGACATGGTCGTCTACGGCGTCATCATGGGCGCCTGCACAATGTGCACCTTCTGCATCATCATCTACGGCGCGAACGGCGGCAACCTGGGCGAGAATTGCAACACCGAATACACGGACGCCTGCGACGCCGTGTTCAAGGCTCGCGCCGCCACCTTTGCCGAACTAACCTGGCTGATTCTCATCTCGGCCTGGGAGTTTAAGAGTTTGCGGCGATCCATGTTCCGCCTCAATCCCGACGACGACAGCCGATTCCCCGTCCTCAAGGACCTGTACAGCAACCGGTTTCTCTTTTGGTCCGTCATCCTGGGCGGCTTGTCCGTGTTCCCCGTCGTGTACATCCCCTTCCTCAATACGAGGTTCTTCAAGCACAAGGGCATCTCGTGGGAATGGGCCCTGGCCGTGGGCTTCACCGTCGTCTTTGTCGCTGGGATTGAGGCATGGAAACTTGTCAAGCGGCGCTTCCACCTGCTCGAGGACCGCCCAGTCCAACGGGGCGCCTGGGGCCAGGGGGGACCCGACGACCAAGGGCCCAAGTTCCGCAAGACCATGTCCATTTCCAGCTTCAAGACTTGGGCTTCCTTCTCGCGAAAAGACACGGGCGACTCCACGTCGCGATATAGTTCTTGGCGAGGGAACCAGGGTGTTGTTCGCGGGACGGAGCATGTATGAATGAGACTTGATTGCTGCGAGTATATTGGCGAAAGAGGAGGAAACTTGTGTGTGTTTGCCAACGGGTGATCTGGGTGCGGGTTGTCGACGGGAGCGGAATCTATTGTATTTGCTTCAGCTTGGTGCAGGGGAAAAATCTCTGTAAATAAAGATGTCACGACGCAACTTGGCGTCTCGGGACGTATGTCTTCACAGGATATCGCCGAGTGTATCTACAGATCAAAGACGAGACGATTTATTTCTATTTCCCTTGTTTGAAAGACACGAAAAAAATAAAAAAAAAGGCAGAACACTAAGAAATGGGCAATTATCAATGTTGGCAATATCAAGTCTTGATGTTCAGAGGGCGACTTGGTCATCTCAAACAGACCACGGGCACATGTGCAGTCAAGACAGCAAGACGGCAAGTAGCCACACCGTGGAGAAAAAAAGCTAAAAAAAAAGGGGGGGGGTTCAAAGGACGCAATACTTGCTTCGTTGCAGCACAAGATCAGGCATCCGGCTTCATCATTTCGCCTTTATTCTCATCATCATGACCAAACTCCAAGTGCCGTGACAGTATCTGCATGTGCAGGCTAATTCCCAATTCACAACTACTCTACACCAGTTTGTTGCACAAGGGCAAACGAAAAATGAGCTCTTCTCCCAAGCGGTCGTGGTCGTGGTCCAGGTCCAGGTCCAGGTCCAGGTCCAGGTCCAGTCCGGTCTATGCTACGAAACGCGGACACATTGGCAATGTTACTGCTGGCTTCCTCGGGGCTAGGCATCAGCAAGGTTGTAAATCTTCTGGACGTCTTTGAGGACGGCCTGGAAGTCAATCTTGAGGTCCTTGAGCAGGCCGTCGTGGAAACCAAAGACCCAGCCGTGGACAATGGGGAACTGGTTCTTGGCGTAGCTCTGCTGGACGGCGGCCGTCTTGATGATGTTGCGGCACTGCTCCTCGACGTTCAGCTCGACGAGGCGGTCGTAGCGCCGGTCCTGGTCGGGGATGGCGTCGAGCTCCTTCTCGTGCAGCCTGTAGACATCGCGGATGTTGCGCAGCCAGGGGTTCAGCAGGCCCAGGTCCTTGGGGGTCATGGCGGCCTTGACGCCGCCGCAGCCGTAGTGGCCGCAGACAATGATGTGCTTGACGCCGAGGTGGCGCACGGCGTAGTTGATGACGCTCATAACGTTGAGGTCGGTGTTGCAGACGAGGTTGGCGATGTTGCGGTGGATAAAGGCCTCGCCGGGCTCGAGGCCGGTGATTTGCTCGGCGGGGATACGAGAGTCGCTGCACCCGATCCAGAGGTATTCGGGGGACTGGCCCTCGGCGAGCTTGGCGAAGTAGCCGGGGTCCTTTTCGGCCTTTTCGGCGGCCCAGGCGCGGTTGTTGTCGAAGAGCCGGTCGTGGGACTGGCGGAGGTATTTGGAGACGTCTTCGGCCGACATTTGGAGGGTGTTGAAGGAGCGATAGGCCGGGGGGTTAAAGGCAGAGGTGGACGACGAAAAGTACGACGACAAGCACGGCGAGAAGTATGACGACGATGCCGACGACGATGACGACGAGGGGTTTTTGACGGCCAAGACGTTGGGCGGGGGGGTCGAGCCGCAGCACGAGGTGGCGAAGGGTGCGGCAGAGACGATGAAGGGCCGTGAGACGGTGCGGCGAGGCGTTGTCGATGCGGATGGTGTCGATGGTGTCGATGGTCTTGATGGTAGTATTGGCAGGACGATTGGGCGAGCGATGCTGCGGAGGGAGGATGCGAGCGCGGGGCGGGCCGGGAGCATGGAGGCGGATGAAAGATGCGGAGTTGCTCGGTGGAGATGGAGGTCGAATGGAATCGGCTCGTACGGTACGGAGTAGGCGGAGGAGGAAAGGAGCAATTGATTGCTGGGATCAGGGAAGGAGCCTGTCAAGGTGTGGAGAGAAGGAGCTGGAGAAGAGAAAAGCTTGTGCTTGAGCTTGAGCTTGAGCTTGAGCTTGATGGAGATTGAGCTTGCTGGGCCGGCGCCTCGTGCGGGCCGGTTTCGCCAAATACCGGTACGTACGTCGCGATGCAGGAGCAGTTGACCCGTTGGCTGCCAATGACCAGCAGGTCAAGTGTGGTCACTGGCTACCAAGACGAATTGATTGAGGGCGTCGCAAAAGCGTTTGGTTGCCGCCATTTCCAATCCCAGCCCAACCCTAACCCTTGGCAACGACAAACCAAACGGTTGGCTCGCGGCGCGGCAACGCATGCGCATGTGCATGTGCATGTGACTCGTACAGGGACGTCCTTGAAAGAAAGAAAAACAACCGTGAAAAACAAAGCAAGCTCGTATTCTAGACCGTGGCCGACACTTGGCACTGTTGGCTGTCTATTATCGTATCCCTCCCGCTTCTCGCTCAACCCCCTCGAAGCAGCCTCAGGTCGACGGGTCTGCCGTCGAGTGAAGCAACGCTGTGGTTTCAACTGAGGGGAAGCAAAACAAAAATTAAAATAGACTGATGTAAATTGAAAATAAAAATAAAGATCAAGATGAAATAAAAAGTCATTACCCAAATAGTATGACAACGTACTCCTCAAAAGGAAGGAAGCGCAAGAGTGCTCCTTCCTCCCTTTTGCCCGTCCGCCGTCCCCGCGTCCATCCAAGACACGGCATTTTCAGGGGAAACCAAGCCATAAAAGGACAAAGAAAAAAAAAAAAACAAACAAGCGCTTGCGAGTCAAGTCCGTCCTCGGCCTCACCCCCTCCCTCACGACTCACGACTTCGTCACGGCCTAACCAGGCCGCCGCCGCCGATTCTGGAACCGCGTGCAGCGCCCGTCATGTCCGCAAGTGAGACAGTGAGACAGCTTCCGTGACGGGCTGTTTCACCTGACACGGCGCATGTGTATGTTACCCCGTACGGTACGTACCGGGCGTGTGTGTTGGTCAATTGCGAAGACTTCGATACAAAAGCCCCTTTAAGCTGCGCCTTGCCCGTTCAACTGCCCGCGTGTCCTGACAGTCATTCTCCTCTGCGTGTGCCGCGTCCGCGTCCGAAAAAGAAGGTATAATTTACACATACGATGCTCTCCGCCGGCGGTATTGCATCTCTCCTCATCCTCGCCGCATCAGCCGGGCTTGGCTCAGCCCAGACGTTTGGTAAATGCAATCCGCGAGAGCGCGACGGTATGTACATGCATGCCCCCCTGACCAAGTTGGTAATGAAAGTCTCGCGGCCTGCTGACTCGGGCTCTCATGTCTGCCGACAGCATGTCCGCCCGACAACGCCTTTGGCAATCGCGCAGCGCCGTGCGAACTTGAACGAGACTTGTGCGGCATCTTCACGGGCAACGATGGCAGCGACGTAACCTACGGAAGTCGTGGCGCCGCCTTCAAGATCGAGAAGCCGAGCGATGCTCCTACGGTTCAGTCGTCCAACTACATCTTCTTTGGAAGGGTCGACGCCTTCATGCGCGCCGCCCCGGGCTCAGGCATCATCACCAGTCTTGTTCTCCAGTCCGACGATCTCGACGAGGTATGTAGGCTCCCTGGATGCTCCTCTTGCGTTCCTGCCACGCCCGGGCCCCGCCGGCTGATGTCCACGTCTTCTACCGAGTAGATTGACTGGGAGTTTATCGGCAGTGACAACACCCAAGTCCAGACAAACTACTTCTCCAAGGGAAATACCTCCACCTACGACCGCGGCCAGTTCCACGACGTCAGCGATCCCGTCGGCTCAACACACAAGTACACCATTGAGTGGACAAGAACTCGCCTCGTGTGGTCCATTGACGGAAAGCCCGTCCGCACACTTCTGGCCAGCGAGTGCAAGCCCGGCACTGCCTCGGGCTTTCCCGAAACTCCAATGCAGGTCAAGCTGGGCACATGGGTCGCCGGCAAAGAGGGTGCTGCTCCAGGGACCATCCAATGGGCGGGCGGCTATGCCGACTGGAGCAAGAAGCCCTTTGTCGCCTACTACAAGGATGTGACCATTGCTGACTATGCCGGTGGCGACGGGCCTGGGAGAGCTGCAGAGCGTTATGTCTATGGAGACAGGAGTGGCACATGGCAGAGCATTCGCATTGAGTAGTCTCTTTTGTCTCCAAGCGTTGCAGGCTGCGTACTTGAGTAAGGAGGCGATGAGACGTGTTACTCTCGTCATACCCATGGGCTTTGTTGAGGGGACATGACGTCAGCTGCTACAAGATTCGCCAGCGTGTGAGCATTGCGCCTTTGTGTGTAGAATATCAACCCTCTCATAAACTCAGCCTGCAGATATTCATCCAACTAGTACGTACGCTGATGGCCCCTGGGAGCCAGCAAGAACAACCTTCCCCCGGGACAAGACAGTAGATGATATTCGATCACGGGCTGCAATTCGCCTGTGTCCAAATGAAATGGCACAAGTCATTCCGAAAAAAATCCCACGCGTAGAAGAATTATTATTAACAGCTTAGTATTATCGTGATCCGTGTACCCTCAATTCCCAAAACTGACCTAGTTTGACAATGCAATCCTTACAGCAATCTGCCAGTGTCCCAAGTTGCCGCTCTGAAATGATGTTCCGCAACACCGTAGCGTCGACGACCGCGATATCCCCCGACATCCCCAGGTCCTAGTATGAAAAAGGGTTTCCCCACTAATCCCTCTCTTGCCATGGCATGACATGGAAGCGCTGGCGGCACCTTTCTGATGCTGAGACGAAGAAAATACGAACCATGACAAAATCCAAAACCGGTCTCGCGATCCATGCGCCACCAAATCTGAAAAGACGCCAACAAATACAAAGCTCATCTGCAGCACAAGGGTATATAATATATGTATAGATAATGTATGTCTCGCAAACATCTCGGGCTAAAGCCCAAACTGCAAAAGCACCGTTGCCAACGGGGAAACAAGCGACCATGAGAAGGCTCAACTTTGAACCATGCCAAGCACACGCAGAGTATTATTGACGTGACTTGAGGATGGAAACAATGACAAGATTCCCCCAGCACAGCACAAGTCGGTCGTATGGTATGGTCGAGACGCTTGCAAAAGTAAGCCAGACAACCACCAGAACAAACCCCATGCCGCGCGACTTGAGGAAGTCCGGCCAGACGGTCACAAGCCCGCGAGCCGTTGATCCTGTTTGGCCTGCCCGGCTGGTCACACGACCAATGAGGAAGACGCGCGGACGTACTCCGTACACGGTACGTACGTACGGGCAGGCACACGGGCCGGGAAGTGTGATGCCATGCCATGCCATGCCCAATTGCCCACATCCGTACACATCCGCCGGGAATAGAGTTGTGGGGGAATAGAAGTTGTGATTGGCTGGACTGGCCAACGGCAACCAACGTTCACGCCCTCCGACAACTAATCTTCAGCCACATGACTCTTTGGTCCACCGTCCGACCCTACTGTGACGGCTTTCTGAGCGAGGCGAATTGAGATTTGAGAAGCAGGTGGTCCAGCCGAGTACAGATCCCGTCTTGTCATCGGGGACAAGAATTCCCGGTCGTTCACCCGTCGCCATGGGAGAAGAGTTTGATGGTGATACTCCTCGCAGAAACTACACTCGAGTGGCACCATCGCCGTAAGCCCCAGCGCTATATACAGAAGGGCCGGGCTGCTGATGTGAGGTCAGACTCGAGTAGCTGTCGGAGTAACCTGCGGATGTGTTATCCCAACGCGGTGGCGTTGCTGTGGAGGACGGGTGTTGACTGATGGGTGTGTGTAAACCACTTGAGCTGTAGCCAGTACTCGAGACCGTTCGAGAATCATACGTGGTGACTGCTGGCAACGGGTTTGTGTTGATACGCATGGGAGGCGCATGTTGGTGGCCCTGCTGCGGACTTGCATGTCGGTTTGCAGGACTCAGAGCGCGTGAGGACGCTCCGTATGTCGGGCCTGTTGTGTATGGGGTCCATGTGGACTGCGAGCCTGAGAGCGATCGTGGCGAGGGGATGGGGTCATGGTGGTTTGAGTGCACCGAGTACTGGCTATGGCCATCGCCATGCTGAGACGGAAGGCTTTGCTGCGAGGCTATACCGTGGCCGGGAGGTGTTGGCAGAGGGGCATACGGCGTCGGGTTCACGGGCGTCACCATACTGCTCGGGGTGGCGCTGTACTTGCCAATGATCTTCCTGAGAGCTGAATCAAGAATCTCCCAGGGAAACACTTTGACGTCTTTTTCAATGTTTCGCGGTTTGGGGTTCGGGAATCCCATGATTATTTTGAAGAAATCTTCGCTATCGGGCTTTGACTTGGACACCGTCAGTGGATGAAAGCCCTCCAAGTTTCGGCGAATTCGGTTCTTCTCCTCGACACTGAAGCGGTTGGGCGAGGCAACAAGCTGCTCAAGCAAATGGATGGTGTCCACCGACGTCACGTAACATTTCTGTTTCTCCTGCCACCAGATACACGAGACGCAGATGCTGTTCGGCGGTCGTTCGTTGACAGGAACGGCCCGGAAGGTGGCCGTCAAGGTACAGCCCGTCTGTGATTTGCGAAACATGACAATGCGGCGTCGATTTTCCCACTCTTCTTGACACCAGTTGTCGGCCATGCTGTCCAGCTTACCAATAATTTTCAACGAGGCCTTGCTGGAGTAGAGCGATATGGGATGATAAGATCCAGTGCCGCCCGCCCCGTTCGCAATGGTACTCGTGCGGATGAGCTGTGGGGTTCCGTTACCAGCCGATGAAGGCATCGGGAGTGGCGTCAAACTTGGCCGAGCACCACTCATTGCCGAGTGATCCAACGAGCTCCTCGCGCTCCCCAGAGGCCCGCCGAAACCGCTCCAGGGGGCTGAGCGTCGATAATGTGGCTCCGTAAAGCTGCTGCTGCTTCTGTACGTCGTAATCATGTCGCCGTTGCCTTGAGAAAATGCGTTTGCGTATTGGCTCTGTTGTGACGGGTAATCGTAACCATGTGTGGCCGTGTCTGGAGGCAACTGGGTGTCCACGGTTTTTGGTGAGGCACTCGCCTGATCAACTCGAGGTCCAGGTGCCGCTATGTCATGCTTCCCATGCTTGCTTGTTCGCGTCATGTCATCCTCAGACCCTTCGAGATACTGAAAAGACCCTGCACCCGTCCGCGAAATTTCCTCTCCAGTCGGGCCTTCGGCAATTAATGATAAAGGCACGTTGTTGCCGTTGCAGCCCGTAACCAATGGCTGTGGCGCGTCCACGCTGCACGAGTATACGAAGCCAGTTGTGTCTTGGGCGTCTCGGGTGAAGTCTTGAACGGGCACCTTCTCGGATCCAAAGCTTACTGAGAAATATGGCATTGCGGATAGGGAAACCAGATCGTATTGTGAGGAAATCTTCATGAAGATTTTCGTTCCAAACATGCCAGACATCGGCTGACAAGACAGCACGGTAGGGCCAGTGTGGATGTACTGAGCGACTCCATTGTTAGACGCAAAGGACTGCTGGTTTAGATGGGCATATTTCTCTGTTTGCTGGACGGCAAAGTTTTGAGCCGGGTACTGGTCGTAGGTTGAGTCTTGATATCGGGCTGTGTCATATCCTTTGAGATGGAACCCAATGTTAGCTCCATAGCAGCCATGTATCAAAAGACATGTCAAGTTTGCAAATTCATTGCGACCAGTGAAGCCTCCTAAAAGAAGCTTCCAGCATTGCAACCCCCCACTGCCCTTACACCGCTCCCCGCCTCATTTTCTCCGAACCATCATCGCCGCGACACGCTTGGAATCGAGATGTCCTTGGGGGAAAAAAGTAAACGGAAAACCTACCTGGCACTGAGGGCAGCTGGGCTTTACTGTAGGTTGCCATGTCTAGGTTGGTAAGAGAATCCCTTCGTGGGCCTCTTCCGTCGGCTGCTCGAACCGCCTCTTCGTGTTTCAATACGAGAGTGTCAGGCGAATCGAGTCCGTTGTCTTCTCCAACTATAATAGTTCTATCCGCGTTGACTCCCGACTGTGAATAAGAGCTGTTAGCATTTCCGCCGTCGCATGGTCTCCAAGCTATGCCAGCACGAGTCGACAAACCGGCTAGGTCCAGTGCTATTTCGTGGCTGTCGGGCGACAAGGCAACCATTTGTTGCAAATATTGAGTGAGGGACGGTGGGCAAACGTTGAATGCGGACAAAGACAAGGAACAAGTGCAAAGATTTAGAACAGACAAGTCGCTTCTTTCCTTACATGCTCTTGCAGGAAGATGTTGGAACAACGTCTAGGCTCACTACTCACCTCGAACAGCTTGTATGATGGAGACTGGATCTTGGCAGCAGACATCAAGCTCCTAGTCGAGAGAGATGGTAGCGACTTGGTGGCAAAACAGATAGTTCAAGAAAGATAGGAAGGAAAAATGATTGAAGAATGCCAACCACTGTCTTGGGTTGGAGAAAAGGTGGTCGCGGGTCTTGTTAAAACTAGGTCTCGTCGAGGTCTTATCCAACGAGAATCACTCGGCCAAGAGGGGTTCCCTTGCCTTCGGGAAGCGCTTGGTCTCTCTGTCGGAGATTTGATAACGGTACAGGAGCAAAGACTAATGTGGAGGTGTATGGTTTTTTGCTATGCTGCGGAGACATGTCAGTTAAACGCCCATAGGGGTTTGCTTCTTCCCCCTCCCAGGAGGGGGGCTTGAGTGAGACAGCAGAAAGACTGGGGTCATCTTACTGGCGCGATGGAAGATCCTGGCAGTGGCAGAGGACAGTCCCGATCCAGAGCAGAACCAGGTGCATTCCAAGAAGAGAAGATCTCTCTTCATAACAAGAGTGGGTTGTCTTGCCCTTCCTGGTCCAACTTTCTCGAACGGGGAGGCAAGCAACTCTGTTAGCACAATAACGGCCTAGTATGTCTGGGCCAACTATCTTCTAATTGGCAAGAAGTGGCGAAGTGAGTAAAGAGAGAATTCCTGACAGAATCAAGTTTCGGGAATCTGAGGTCAAGTAGGGAGGAATGCTAAGCGGTCCCGTATGTTCGTGATAGAGGACACCCCGCTGTTCATGTGTCGCGTCGGTACTATTTCTCTCCGAAGTGGCTTCCTACGTACTTGTATAGGGCTGGTGCTGTATTTTTATAGCAGATATTTGGTTGGCCTGGCACTCTCAACGCTCTGATGATAGTGTGTATTAGCCAGCCCTTTCAAGACACACGAGGTTATTGGTCATGTGGGGATTTCAGCGACTTTGGGGGGGAATCGGAGGACAGAGAGGTATAGAATCGAAAGTCAGGGATCGACTTACATGAACGCAGAAACCGCACGCCTCTCATAGTTAAGCACTGTGGAGATGGCTATGGCTACGACTCTGCAGGTACCACCCGAGCCGTTCGCAGGGAGGGAAATGAAGCTCTGCAAGAGGCAACTAGCTTAGTGTTGGGATGAAAAGGCCGTTGGAAAACTTGTTCTCGATACTTTGACAGACTGTGAGTGTGTGAGCGTGTGCAGGCGTGCGTGCTTGTGTGTGAGTGTGTGAGTGCGCAAGTGTGTGAGTGTGTTTCAGAGCAAGACTGGAAGTCTTGATGGCGATGGATATCTGACACGGCAAGGAGAAGGGCCAGAGTCTGATTTAGACGCAAGTGAGATTTGGGAGAGTCAAAGTCTCGGGTTGTTATGGGGCGTGTGCCAGCAGTGAAAGAGAGAATGGGAACTTGAAAGGGCAAACATTTCTTTTGGAGACTGGGACGGTGTCTGCGGATGGTTGACATATGTATGCCCTGCGTCGAGTGGCACTGCTGGTCAACCATCAGGCTGGGGGGGGCTCTGGCGGGATGAGTAGTCGTGTCCACCAGGCAAAAGAGCTAAATAGTCGTGTACTTCGTACTAAGTATACTAAGTACAACGGCTAAGGCCACCATGGAAAAAGCAACTTGATGTATGGGAAGCAAGGGCAGGCAGTACGGAGTAGAATAAGGCTAGATGATGATATCAGTCTTCGGGATGATCCACACGAGGCTGTTTGCTTGGACGCACGTCAACATAGAAAGCGAGATACTAGAACGCAAGATGGCAAGCGGGTCTTGCGAAGCCCTCACCCCCTCCGCATTGCAGCTGTAATTATATATATCGTCCAGGGGATGGGATGGGAGTGAACGGGGAGTAGGCACTTCGTCCCTGCTCAATCAACATGGATTCCAAGTGATGGCCGTGTCAGAGCACACCCGGTAGGTACCGCAGTAATCCTATTGGGACCGCCAAAACAGGCAAAGGGCCTCCGGGGCACGAGGCAGCGCATCCCAGCAGCCTCCTGCCGTCGACTTTGAAGAGGACGGCGACCAAGCCCAGCAAGCTGGCAGGCGGCTTCATCCGGTTATCTTGGACAGAAGCCAGGGTTGACAATATGGAGATGGGCACTGAGCTAGGCCGGCCTAGTTTGTGCCATGGGCGTTGAGATCCCCCGATAATCCTGAAAGACGCTGCAAGGGTGGCGAATGACAGGAAAAGTGAACGAGGATATCAGCCTGAGGTGCGTCCTGGACAGTACCGGTGGCTGTGGTGGTTGGTGCAGGGATGGATGGGGGGTGTGATGAACAGTCGTGACCACATCAAGATCCAGAAGGGGTGTGTAGAGGGAACGCGATACCACGGGATGGACTGCATGGTAATAAAATGCGCCAGGGGGGCGCGAAGTGGATAGGATCGTCTGCAGATGCAATGGTCGGCCAGATCACTGAGGTTAATGAGCAGACACGGTATTTGGTCAAGTCGTGCCAGAAATGAGGATCTGGCGTCAGGACGTGCCATTGGAGGGAAACTGGCAAAACCGCGTGGTGTGAAGGGTCATTCGTGATGCGCCCAGTAGAACGGACGAGAGAACCCGAGGGCAGGCGTTGAACCACCGTTTGATAATAGGGAATGGAACACAATTTTCTGTCAATAACAGTAAAAGAAATGCCGAAGAATACGTACCAAGGGACCCCGTCACTGGTTTTCGAGGCGATGTTCCCTGTTCCGTGCGCTCGGCCAGTCCAGCGTCACCAGTATGCAGCAAATGTCAAGACCGACGCGAGAGAGCCAGGCAAGGCCAGGAACCAGCTACCAAGGATCATGTCACGGTAATTAGACCGAGCTCGTGTCGCTGGAGTGACAGGTAGGATCAGCAAACTGACCCTTGGGAACCAAAGGATGCAGGGCTGTCCCGACGCTGTGGATGTGTTTGCACGGTTCGTATAAGTCGTCGCTGAAGTGAGAGCCGGTGGCTTGACCATGGTCTCGCTCGCTGTACGGAGCATCCAAAAGAACTCGGCTGGTGGTGGGCAGCGGGCGATGGCAGCGTCCCTACGGCCGATCAGTTAGTCCTGATACCAAACTATTCCGTACTCCGTACTCCCCAGCAATAGAAACAACGCCACGGCGCCCTGGTGTCGGTGGATTGTGCTCTGGTAGGTCAAGTAGACGTCGGCTGGCAAGGGCTCGGCCTGTCCAGCCCAGTTCAGCCAAGCCAAGAGCTTCGTGCGAGCTTGGGCCTGAAGACAAAAAGCAGGAATGTCAACTTTCGAGCTCAACCCGGCCAGAAAGGGCTACCTTTGGCCACCTTCAGCCCGCTTCAGCCTGCAGCGTCCCAGCTGGGCTCACTCGAGAGGTGGATGTGCAACGCTAATGTAGGCCTAGCACATGCGGCTTGTTGGATACCCGGGGAGCATGAGAGTGGGGCGTTGACGGCAGAGGGCCTCACGACCAGGGTCATGACGGCAACCCGACGCCAAAACGGGATGCAGCCATAGAGCACGGGGGCGCACGGGGGCACATGGGGGCCCATTCTGTTGCCATCCATCGCCCCCGTGCCCCATTCGCGGATTTGTCGTGAGAGTGCCAAGTGCTTTCGTCTCCTGGAATCGTGCTCCATAGGGTCGTCGAGCAACGTCTTGTATCTTATATGCCGGCCGCATGTTGGCATGATTGCCCATTTTCAACTGCCATCTTGGTCTTTGCTCTCAAGTCACCCGCGCTGCATATCAATAATGGGCCGCCTTCCCTGTCAGACCGCCAACCGGCGAGCCTGGCGCCCCGTCGTCTCCCCAGTTGAGCCTCGAAACGGCCTCGGGACCTGTCGATTCAGTATGCCGTACTCCGTGCGATGCCAGTATTGCATCTTGTATGCGCTCCATTGCTGATTCCCGGTAAGCTTACGCCGCCTGGAGGAACCGTCCACTTTCCGCGGTCTGTGCATCGGCCAATTGTTCGTCACGGGGAGGCAGCGGCCAGGAAAATTTGGAGTGGTTGATGTGTGGCTGCTGATGGGATGGAGCTTCGAAAGTAACGTATTCCCGTGCAGTACCACAATGGGTGGCCTGTAGACAATCTGGAGACTCCACCGTAGTCCTCGGCTTCGACAAGCCCCGCCGGGATGCCTGAGAAATTGTATTGCAATACGGAGTAATCGTGAAATAATGAATAGCCTTTCGGCTGTACTGGCCGTCCCGCGACGTTTCGTCCATGCGTGTCCCGAACAAAGCCGTGGACAAGTGCCTTAAGTACCTCCACTTGGCTAGCGGCAAAGCCGACATCAAAGTCTGGTACTCCATAAACGACAAATCGAGCCTTGGCGGGTGACCGTCAAATTGTGTTCCCATCACTTGGGGTACCTGGTCAAAAACAATATGTGATCCCGGCACCGCTTTGTCTGGTCTGGGGCCGGGGGTCCCATTTGTGGTTCCTAGTTGGACAAGTCCCACGCCGTTGGGTCTCTTGGGGTCCGGGAATTCTGAATTTCTTTTGCGTCTCTCCGCCCAACATTGACCAATGAGTATAGCCAGACACTTTGGCGTACTGGACCAAAAAATCAAATATCGCACAGGGTACTCCGTAGTCAAATGAAATATTGCTCATGGCCGTATGCTTGTATCTCTCAGAGTCCCCTTTCACAGACCGAGTATGAATGATCATTTGTCCGTCGGAAGGGGAACCCTATTCAAGAGAGAAGGGTTGGATTTTGCTAGGAAAGTCAGCTCTCCCCAATTTATAGAATGGTGATTGGTTCTGCTTATTTGTATTTGTAGCATGAGGAGCAATACCGGCTTGACTAGCATGGCTCGTGCCATTGAAGCAGGTATTGAGCGTGATGGGTCATCCGACGTTGCCCTCAGAACTAGTTC